GCTCAGTTTCCGGTCTGTAAAGTAAGGGGCTGGACCCCAGGGACCCTTCGGTTCTGTCTGCTCTCGGGGGTCTCCAGATGAGGGAAAGAAGAGGGGTTTGGGTGCAAACTAATGTACACCCAGCCCAAAGGATGCAAGGAAAAAAGAGTAGGACCTGGTTCTGGTCCCAACTTGCTGGGTGACCTTTGGCAAATTTTTTCACTTCTCTGGCCTATTGGTTCAATGACAGTGCTCATTCGAGGACCCAGCATGGCCTCAAGTGAAAAGAATCCCTAACTGGGTTTTCCTGCTGTGGCCAAGGGAATGTTGCTCCCAAGCCAGGCCTTTGAGGGTTCAGGCGCCGTAGGTCCCTGAGCTCAGGATGCTTTTCAGCCCGTGGTCAGAAGTGCCTCACTAAGGGATGGGGAAGACAGAAACACACGGCGCCCGAACTCATGCTCACTAGAGTCGCTATCATCTACCCCGCACCTGCCATCCTGCCTGGAGGACCTGGCTGGAGGGGGAAGCATCGTGGCTGCATCACACACTAGGAAGTCCAGGTCATGGTAGGGCCTGGGCCCAAGTCGCTTCTGCTCAGATTTTCTGTTGCACTACATAGTTTGAGTCTTCATCTGGCACAAGGTGGAGGATTTGAGCAACGGCCTTGGGTCTAGAATGATCGGAAATAGACTTCAATTCCATCCAAAGCCAATTGCAAAGAAACCATCCTGCTCTAGCCAGGCATGGTGGTGTGTGCCTGTAATCCCAGCACTTGAGAGGCTTAGGCAGGGGGATTGCCGTGAATTCGAGGCCAGATATTGAGTTCAAGGCCATTCTGAACTACATAGTAAAACCCTGTCCAAAAAAAAAAATTCCTGCTTGCTCTAAATCCAAATCACCTCTCCCTATACCAGGGACCTGGCATATGTTCCCTAGGTCTGGGAAGCTCCAAGGAAAATCTTGGGAACTGAAGCTACCTCGGGTAGAGCTGAGGAGGTGAACGAATCCCAAGCTTGCCTCCTCGAGAAACATACATCTTGAAAACCTTGGTTCCTCCATCTGGGTGATGACCAGAAAGTGTACCAGACTTGTTTGTTCTGACCTGTAGCAGGATCACTTCTCTACGCCTCCCTGAGCATTTTCTGGGTACCCACTAGGTGCCAGGCGCTGTAAGTGGGGTGAATCAGAGACGCCCGAGACACACACCTGTCACAGAAGAATTCAGCCAAGCAGGAAGGATACAGATGATTAATCACCATGATGCAATGCAATGGAAGGAGCTCCCCACCTCGGAGTGACCTGCTCTTCGGAGGTGGACTCTTGCCACACCAGATCTCGCGAGACCAGTGGGGGGGGGACCGCCCCTCCCCCAGCAGCAGGCAGCCAGACACCTGCCCTCTCCCCTGCCAGGAACCTGCACCTTGCTCATCCTCAGTCATCAGGGGGAGGTGGGTGCTGAGGAACAGCGCCGTAAACACCACCAGGATCTACCGGGTAGGAAGAACAGGGAAAATGAAGAATAATTCAACTGCCGCTTTCTGCTACCCTAAAGCTAAAGTCTCTAGTTGCAAGCCCTGAAAACCAGACGCTTGTGAGACCAGAGGCTGGGAGTCTGAATGCCTGGATTCTGTCCCTCCTGAGTGACCTTGAGCCGGACATCAGGCCCTTGTGACTCAGTTTCTCCATCACTAAGTGCACAGCAGGCCAGGGTGTGCCGTGGCATTGCGGGAGTGGTGCTGGCTGGTACCTGCCTTGCTTTGTTTTCCCCTTATCGTTCAGGCTGCCTGGGGTTAGGGACGTAGCTCAGTGGCACAGTGGTTGCCCAGCATTGACGAGGCTCTGGGTTCAGTCCCCGGCAGTGCCATAAAATAATTTTAATTTAAAAAGTGGGTTTTCTTTGCTTTTAGATGATTTAATGTCTGAGCAATGTTTGTGGAGAGGAAGAATGAAGTAGGACCAGGTAGGGAGGGGAGCGGAGGAATAGGCAAGGAGTGTTAACAGGAAGTAGTGGGATGAGAGGGTGGGACAGAAAGGTAGGCTGGCTCTGTGGGAGTCAGGAACAGGGACAGACATTGGGGTGCAGCTCAGCGGTAGAGAGCTCCAGCATGCGGTAGGACCTGGGTTCGATCCTCAGCACTCAGAAAGAAGCAGCTCATGTGTGTAATTACTTCACTGAGGAGGCTGAGGCAGGAGGGTCTCCATGAGTTCCAGGCCAGCTCAGACTACATAGCAAGACCCTGTCTCGAAAACACAAAAATCAAATTTGGTCCCAGGGATCAAAACCGGCTCTAGCTAACAAGCAGGCCAGACCCAGCAGTGGCTGCACACAGAAAGCTGTGTACAGAGAGCATGGGGTATCCAGGCTCGGAGGTGTCCTACCTGCCCAGAGCCCTGAACGCTTTCCCGTGTCTACTGCAGCCCCTGCCTCTGTGGTCCACCGCACAGCTTGGCCCTGCTACGCCGCCCTTCCCAGCCAATTGGAGGGGCCAGGTCTGCTTATGAAATTACTAAACCCTGTTAGAAAAGAGGGCAACTCGCTCTTCATACAATTGTCTCTGCTGATCCCGGCTGGCTCCTGTGGCGCTGGGATAGATTCTCCCAGGCTGCTCACTCTCCCCCTGCCAGCAGGGCCACCAGACAGCTCTGTCCCCCGGGGAAGGAATTGTTTCAAATCTAATTTGTTTAAAATCTGTGGTGCCGCGGAGCACGGGGCAGGGAGAGGCATGTTTTCTTTCAGCAGCAGCCGTGTGTGACGAAGGGGGCTCAAGCAAGCTGTGTTTGTGCTGACAGAAGCTGACAGATGCTGCTCTGTGGACTCACGTGGCCACCTTGGCCACCTTCCCCTGCTGCCGGAAGTCGCTCGGCGCTTCACCCCGTCAGTGCCACACCGTTGGACACGGTTTAGAGGCTGGGAAAGAATGCACGAAGTGTCTCCCTGCATTGAAAGCACCGTCGCGCTACGTAAAGGAGAAACAGGAGCCTCACTTTGCAAGAAGGAAGAGCTAAACTGGACGAGCGAAACACTCAGGTGACTTCTGGAATGTGTTTTGTCTAACTTCTTAGCTCTGCTTTGGTCACACTGCTCTCGGCCCTGGGAGTGTCAGGAGCAAGGTAGTTTTTTTGTTTTTCATTTGAAACATCTCTTCTTACTCAAGTGATATCATCCCTGAAGGCCGAGAAGTAAGGAGGTGAATCATGTATCACCTTCATCTCTCTTCTAGAATTACATCAGGCCACAGCTCTGGGGTGCGGCGGGGACAGATGCCAAAAAGCAGCAGGGAAGGGACAGAGGAGAGGGCACTGCAGGCCAGAGAGGAGAAGAGCTGCTTGTTTTCCTCCCTCCTCGTAGCCCCCTTTTCCTATTTATAATCAGGTAAGAGGAAAAACCAGACTGAGAATGAGTGGGCTTCCAGTCATTCATGGGGTTGGTTTGAACATCATTGATTTTCAAGGGTCCCAGCACAGGGGAAGGCCGACCTCAGCCTTCTCTCTGGGATGAAGGCACATACACCCACCTTCCCCAAGCGTCAGCCACATTCCCTGCAGTTTTTTGTTTTGTTTGGTTTGGATTTTTTTGTACCGGGGATCGAACTCAGGTCCTTGCACTTGCGCAGCAGGAGGCGAAACAGCTGAGCTAAATCCCCGGCCCCATACCCTGAAGTTTTATGTCTTTGTCAGTTTAGAATGGCAGGGGAACTTGCCAATGTGCAGAACTAATGGAAATCCGAAGTCTTGTCGCACAGGATGACACCCATGTAGCTGTTTGCTGACCAAGTAAGCCCAATGTTGGGGAAGGTCCCATCCATGTGGCTGGACAGGTGGGCTGCGATTTGACTTTCCTGAATAACACCTGGCCTTTTTTCTTTCTTTTGGTTTTGTTTTTTGGAGACAAGGTGTGGTTACATAGTTCAGGTTGGCCTTGAACTCACTATATAGCCCAGGCTGGCCTCAAACTCCCAGCAATCCTCCTGCCTCAGCCTCTTGAGTGCTGGGTGGCTAACCTAGCCATTTTCATTCCCACTTCCTTAGTACCTTTTCTCTTTTTAAGAGATTTAGCCCTCAACCCCTCCCACAAATGAGGAAGAAGTTCTTCCACCCTCCCTTGCTCTCTGGTTCCAGCAAATTCCAGACTCCTCGGGGTCTCAGTGCGGCCGCTCTGAACAAGCTTGTGATAAAAAGAAAACAGAGTGGCCGCGAGGGCCAGGAGTGAGCTCCACGTCTGAGACACGGGAAGAAAGGCCTGAAAGGGCAAAGGGAAGAAGAATTTGCAGAAGGCACAGTTCTGGCAGCATCTTATTACAGCTTCCAGCTGGTGGGGTGGAGCCCAACTCCAGACATCTGTTTGGAGTTTACAACAGAAACAAACACGCAGGAACCATGAAAACCCTACAGCAACAACACATACACACACACTCCCAGACCGAGCTCCGAAAGCTCCTCTCTGCCTTGCCCTCCACACCTGCTTGGCCCAGCACGCCTGCACAGTGACACCATGACTCGTGCACCCAGGACTGGAACTCACAACTTTTCCCAGCTTGCTCTTCCTTCCCCGAAAAGCAGACAGCCCCACTCCTCAGAGAGCTCCTCCAGGACTTCCTCGGCTCTCTAGTCCCTTTCTAACACTCCTCAACTGCTTGTAAAGGAAAGGATGATGTTGTAGCTTCTTCCTCGACCAAGAGGGTAACCCACAGAACCTCAGCAGACTCAAAAGTCCTTCCCCCATAAGCACAGCTCTGAAGGTGGGAAACAACTCCCTCTGGCCTTTCCAAAAATTAAATTTTTAATTAAATCAAAGACCAGAGAAGGTTCACACTCACACAACTAAGTGAGGAACATGGAATACGCTGAGAGGTGGGTCCCAGACACAGCGCACAGAGCTGAGCGGGACCTGGGGCCGGACACACTGGCCCCTCAGCCACCTGGGCACCATGCCCTGGGCAGCATCTCCAGACACTCACCTGCTGTATGACATTCTCCTTTTTATTGTGGCCCCCCACGCGTGCAACAGAACCAGAACCCGCTACTCAAAAAATAACAAAATGTTTTATCCACATTTCCATATATACAACTGAACAACATTTTACATGTTTCTTTTGCACAGCAAAAGAGATATAAACATTCAGCTCTGAGAACACAGTTATGTACAAAAAAAAGTCAAAAATACTTCACAACAGTGCAAAAATATTCTACACAGCATCACGGAGTGAGGTCTCTGGGGCAGGAGGAAGGTGTGTGTTTCTAAAGGGAAACTCCTTTTTATTTGTTTGTTTGGTACCAGGGATCAAACTCCGATCGAACTCAGGTCCTTGCGCTTGCAGGGCAGGTGGCAGAACCACTGAGCTAAATCCCCAGCCCCAGGAAAACTCCTTTTTAAAAGATAGCAGATGTCTAACTGTAAACAAAATGCAACGTTCTTTCATAACCCACCCCCAAACAATTATTTGAGGAATTTGGCAGATTTTCAAGAGTCTGAGTCCGAGGTAAACAGCCCAAGCTCTTGCACCAAAAAGAACTGGTGGTTCGGGACGGCATTAAAGTCTTGTTGTGACAGCGATTTTTTTAAAGGACTCATCAATGACAGGGCAAGATGGCTCCCAGGGAGGGGGTCGGAGGAAGTTAAACCTCCCCTGCTGGCCCAGCTGCCTCACAAACAGGAAGCTGGCTGCCTGGCCGACTTTTCCAGTTGCTGGAGGCCTCTCCTCAACCCCATCCCAGAGGGCTTTCCTCTCCTTTAGGGTTTTCTCTTGCATCTCCCCACATCCCCTCTAGCAACCTGAGCCACCTGAATCGGAGCAGCCAGAAGTGCTGGGCCGCAGGTCGAGAAGGAAGCAGACATGGGGAACTCCTGCCCTGGGCCCCCCGGGGGGCGGGGCGCCCCGTTTCCCCTTTCCTTGGGCAGGAAGGGGAGAGGGAGGTTGCTGCGACCACGGTTGGGGTGTCACTGTCGGGTGCCGGGGGCGCACAGCAGAGGCTGCGCCGGTAGCTCAGCCAGAGTGGGGCGCGTTAGGGCTGGGGCTGGCACCGCCGTCGGTAGGCCCAACCGGGTTTTCGGCGGTGGCAGAGGTGGCGTCGGGGCCCCCGCCCTCGATGGAGCTCTCGCTGCCAGTGCTCTCGCCTGACAGCAGGCGCGTCACACGCAAGTCCGCCTGCAGGGTGCGCACGTCGTTCCCAATGCTGAGTTCGCCCAGGTCGCTAATCAGCTGCGACAGCTGGGCCTTCATGTCGGAGGAGGCACCGTCGTCTGGCAGCGGAATTGGCGTCCCGGCTCCGCCGCCCAGCGCCTCCTCGCGGCCATTCTGCACCGTGTCCAACAAGTCCCCGCAATCCAAGTGCATGGCCACCACTAGCGAGCTCCGCTCCTCGGCTCCCTCCTGGTCTGGGTCCTGCTGCGCCCTGCGGTAACCCCCTTCGTCCTCCTCTTCGTCCCCCTCCTCCAGGCAGGCCTCCAGGTGCTCCTCCTCCACCTCCTCTTGCTCCTGCTGCTCGCCGAGCAGGTCCTCAGTGATGGAGCCCAGCTTGGGCGCGCTTCGGCTGCGCTCCACCGGCGGCTTGTAGCAGCAGGGTCCGTGCAGCAGCAGCTTACGCAGTGGCACCAGAGGGATAGTGTGCGCCCCCACCAGCTCCTGCTGCTGGTGGCGCGCGTCGTCCCGCCGCTTGAGGCGCTTAAACTCCGCCAGCGCGTTGGCCGACGTCTGGTACAGCAGCAGGGCCATGGCCTGCGCCTTCTCTGGCTTGGACACTAGCACAGCGTGGCAGCGCAGCATCACCGCCTTGTGCTTCAGTTCGTGCCGGTATACCCAGGCGAAGACCTTGGGCAACCGCGCGTCGGCCACGCAGTAGGTGACGCGGTGCAGCAGGTAGAGGTGGCCCGGGCGGCGGAGCGCGCGCTCCTCCGCGTGCACCATGCGGATCCCTTGCGCGCTCACCGTCAGCTTCATCTTCGTACCCTGGCGGCCCGCCTCGCTCTTGCTCCAGATCTTGCCCACTGCCAGGTCGGTGCAGCCGTCGCCGCGCGCTTGGATGGTGGTGGCGTTGCCCAGGTAGAGCACGGTGTACGTGGGGTCCTCGCTGGTGATGTGCAGCTTTTTGCGCTTGGAGCGGAACATGCTGCCCACGCGGCTGAGCGCGCCTTCGGGGCAGGCGCGCGCCAGCGAGCTAAGCGCAGAGTAGTGCAGGCTCACGGCGTAGCCTTTGGGCTTGGACGCCTGCCGCGGCGGCGCCTCGGCCAGCAGCTCGAACTTGTGCCTCTTCCACGGCAGCATCTCCGGAGTGCGCCCCGGCGCGGCTGGGCGGCGCGGCCGAGCGCGCGGTGCGAGCCCCTCAGAGCCACTAGCCTCGGCCGGGCTTGTCCCGGGCAAGATCAAAAAATAGAACTCTGCTGAGAGCAGCACTGGGGGTCAGGCAGAGCAGGACAGAGAGTACTTGGGCACCCCGCAGGGAGTGGAGTCCAATTTTAAGAGAAGAAAATTTTCAGCTTCCAGTGCGCAAAGGACGGTGGGGGCACGGCAGCGCGCGCACACACAGACACCCCAGTCTCGATAAGGACGAGGGCAAAAGTCTCAGACGAGCGACAAGAAAAGAGAAAAGGGAAGGAGAGTGGAGAGGAAAATGTCTCCGAAAAAAGCCAGATGCGCGCGTGGGGATAAATAGGGGGCGTCTCCGCTGCGCAGCCAGGATGGGGCGCGGAGGTGCGAGAACTCTCAGGAGACGGCGATCGGGCCCGGGCCCGGAGCCTCCGGGTCTCTGCAGCAGCGCGCCCCGGGGCCAGGCTCCCCGCCCCCAAGGGTTGCTGGAGAGCGGGTGCCCCTGCCAGGCAGGTCCCGAGATCAGCAGCTGGCTGAGGGTGACAGAGCCCGGGTGGCCCGCGGGCCCCGCGCAGCGTCCGCGCCGCTCACCGCATCCCGCTCCGGCAGGAGCTCACTGTCCCGGCTGGTGCCGCCCGGGCAGCGCTGGGCTCCGAGGGCGGGACGCGCGCATGTCGGCTCAGGGGCGCCGCTACCTCATGGCTCCGCACCCGGGGACGCCGTGCTCCACTCCCGGCTCTCCTGATTGACTGCCCGCCTTTGCAGCGCGCCGAACCCGGTCCTGCGCGCGGTAACCGGCTCGCCAGCCTCACATCCTTGCCGTCCGGGAGTGAGAGCTCCGGTAAATATAGGCCGGCGCGAACCATTCGCGCGCGGGGACAGGGGAGGAGCAGAGGAGAAGCTCCGCTCCGGGCCGCGACGCCCGACGGATTTCTGGTCTCTTAAAGGGACCTGATTGCAGCTCTTGGTCGAGGGCGGAAAGAGACCAATCTCATCCTGCAATTATCCTAAATGTATCTGCATCTTTTTCATCTACAGTAACCACGACGATCTGGGGTTACCCCACAGCAAAAGGAACTTAGCTCTGACACCCCACCCCTAAAGCTGAAGTGCAACTCCCTGAATAAATGTGCGCCGAGATCGAAACTTCTGGGGGAGGCGGCCTAAGGTGAGATTGTAGGCTGTCATTTCCAGTGCAGAAAGGTTGGACAAATAGTGATTGTTTTCCTTGGGGGGCAGCTCAGCTGAGAATCCCTGGGTGCTATTCAATACTATTTTCAGAATTGGAGTCCATTAAAGAAAGCAAGCAGTCTGTGGTGGCAAAGCCCCCTAATCCCAGCACTTGGGAGGCTGAGGCAGGAGGATCGCCAGGAGTTCGAGGCCAGCTTGGACTACATAGTGAGGTCAAGGCCAGCCTGCACTTCGTAGTGAGACTCTGTCTCATAAAAGAAGAAGAAAAAAAGCAAGCAGAGAGGCAAAGACTTATTTTTGACCACTTTGGAGCCTGTTACCTAGAAATACACAGCAGTAGTGAAAAGCGAATGCTAAGATGATCGGGGTGAACGCTGCTGTTTACAGCCAATAAATGGGGTGCTCCCAGCTCCTAGGCCCCCAAAATACTCCTTCCTGCAGTGAGCCCCCAGAGTAGAGTAGAGCTGTTTCCTGAGGACAACACAATCCTAAATCCTGCTGTGTGAGATCAGGCCTCAGTTTACTTGGGTAGGCCTGGCACTCGGTTTTATTATATTATTGACACATCTGAGATGAGAATTCCTGGTAAAAATTCCAATGGCATTTTTTATTGGAGTGTCAGATAAAGCCTGGCTGCCCTCCCGTGGGTGTGATGATTGCATTAATCCTGCTGCTTTCAGTGCCAGTTGGGCGATGTCCTTTGGTGGCTCATTGCTGGGCTCATGAAACTGCCTGCCGGCCTCTGTGGTCATGGTGGCACAGGCCTGTAATCTCAGCACTCAGGAGGCTGAGACAGGAAGATCACCTCAAGTTTGAGGCCTGCCTGGGCTACAATAATGAGTTCAAGGCCAGCCTGCACTACATAGCAAGACCCTGTCTCAGGAGAAAAAGAAGACAACGAAAAGGGGAAGGAGGGAAGAGGGAAAAGGAAGACCACATGCTATGAGAAAGACCTGAAATACTATCAGAAACTGGGAGGCGAAAAAGTTGGTCTTGACTAAGGAAATCAGAAAAGACTTCCTGGCGTTGGTGACATTTGCAGGGTGAACAGAATTTCTCCGATCAGGAAGGACTGCTGGGCTTCTGGGTATGAAGGACGAAAAAAATCACAGAAGCATTGATAATGCGTGCACACGTGCAGGGTAGGGTGGAGTTTAATGATATAACAATAAGAGGAGAAATTTCCCCATCAGAGCTGAAGGGTTCCTGCTGATGGATTTCAGATCCTTTGCTTTCTGAAGGCCTGACCGACCCAGGGCCAGGAGGGTCTGAGAGGAAGAAGGACAGTGGCAGACGCACGGCCTCAGTGCTGCTCCCACTCTGTCACGATTTGACTGCCTTTTTAATGAGCTCGCTTCAAGCTCAGGGAGCGGGCGGGTTCTAGGCAAATGTGAACACCCTGCCGTGACTCATGGCCCAGACCTGTGCCAAGACCCAGGAGGGTAGCCCGGCCGTCTCCACCCCGCCTGGCCTGGGCCCGCCCCTGGGCCCGCCTGGCCACCCCCGCTGAAAGCTCCTGAGGGCGCCAGCTCGGAAATCAGAGACTAGGGCAGCTCCTCCACAGTACCTCTGCAAAGTCAACTGGGAAACCGCCCACGCTGCGACTACTTTGTGACGCGGCGCCATCTAGTGGTAGCAGGCAGAAGCGCCACTCGGTGGCATGGCTTCCGCTAAAACCAGCCAGGCCCGTGGACGTGCCGCCAAGTAAGTCCCAGTTGGAAGGAAACGCTGTGACCGCAAGAGTCCCACCCCAAGTTGGCATTGAGGTCAGCCTTTCATGCCACAGAGGCCTCTGAGCGGCTCCTCCCTCTCCATCACCCTCCCCCAAGATCCCACGGAATGGCCGTCAACCTCAGAGATGACAGATGAGGAATCTGGAATCTTCAACGCTTTCCGCAAGAATTCGCTGAGCGTTAGCTCGGGTGTGAGGTAGTTGCTGAGGGTGGGCGGGGGAGCAGTAAAGAAGACAGAGGTGTTTGCCTTCGCGGGATTTATAGGCCAAAGCGAGGCAGATAATCAACAACTAATAAAAGATCCGGTAGCGACAAGTCCTGGCTGCAAGAGGCAGCGTCAGCAGTGGTAAAGGGCTGCTTTAGAAACATGGCCCAAGTCGGGCGTGGTGGCGCACACCTGTGATCCCAGCACTTAGGAGGCTGAGGCAAGAGGATCGCTGTGAGTTCAATGGCATCCTGAATTACAGGGTAACCCTGTCTCAAAAAAACCCAAAACATATGGCCCAGAAGGTGTGTCACTTGGGCACAGCCTCCAATGAGACAGGGCCAGAGGCCCAGAGAGGTCATGAGCCACATGTGGCTGTTCAGCACTGAGACACACATTGGGTGGTAATATTTAGGCTGTGTTGAGTTCAATCAAATTCATTTTTTGGTTTCTTTTTTGAGACAGACTCCCTAAGTCATCTAGGCTGGCCTTGAACTCATTATGTAACCCAGGCTGGCCTCAAACTCCCAGAGATTCTCCTGCCTCGGCCTACTGAGTGCCAGAATTACAGATGTAGACCACCATGCCGCACTCCTCCTACTCACTTTTAAGAGCCAGCTCACACCTCCTGGGCCTACCCATTCGCTCCAAGCTCCCTGGTGTGGATCTCGACCTCCGCACTTGCTTTGTTAACAGCGTTTGTGTCTTTAACTCCCTGTTCCCTTGCTAGCCTGTGCTCCTGGGGCCCAGGGACGCTATTTACTCCCTCTTATGTCACCACAGCTAGCACAATGCCCGCCACCTCGTCTGTGTATGGTCAGCGTCTGCAGAAGAAACGTGGACCACGTGCATATTTTCAGTGACAGGACTTTAGCAGGCGTGGGCTGCCAGAACCAGAAGGGCCCTGCAGGATAACCTGGCTGGCCCCACTCTGGGTTTACAGAGGAGAAACACAGGCCCTGAGAGTACTGAGCGAGTAGCCGAGCTAAGGTGCAGATCCTTGTGCATGAAGCTCAATTTAGGACACTTTCCTCTTGCTAAACATAAACCCAAAGAGCAGGCATGGTGGCATACACCTATAATCCCAGCCCTCGGGAAGCTGAGGCAGGAGGATCGCCAGGAGCTCAAGGACAGCCTGGGCTACATAGCAAGACCCTGTCTCCAAAAACAAATAAATAAAATAAACACAGAGCCAAAGGCTTTTAAACACAGAAATGTATAGGACCCACGTTCTTCGCTCGTGTCCCCCATGCAGGCCTACAGTTTGGAGGTTTATAGATTCATTGGGGAACTGGGCAGGCACAGCCTTTGCCATGAGCTCACTGAGTAGCCACTCACTGGCCCTTTTGTAAAAGTCCACCTGAGCTAGATGTACACCTATCATCCCAGCATTCAGGAGGCTGAGGCAGGAGGATTTCCAGGAGTTCAAAGCCAACATGGGCTAGATAGTGAATTCAAGAGAACTACATAGCGAGACTCTGTCTCAAAAAACAAGCAAACAAACAAAAAAACCTAAATATTCTGGGACTCAGAGGGAGAGAGAACTTGTAACGAACAGTGAAGCAACAGCGCTCGCCTGGGGGGGGGCGCTGCGTGTTAAGCGTTTCAGGTGAGCAGATTGCTGCAGGCAGAGGCAGGAGTGCGGTGCAGAAGAAGGCGTGTGCAAAGGTGGCTGTGGAACATGAAGCGACGGACTGAAGCAGAGAACTCAAGGGAACTGAACACCTGTGTGTGGCAGACGCTGTGTCAAGGGAGTCTGTGCCATCTTTTCATTTTATAGAGGGAGAGGACAGGGCCTGGAGCAGAGAAGAAACTGTCCCCAGGTGCCCCCAAGCCCATGCTGTTCGTTTTTTCTGTTTTGTTTTGAGACAGCGTCCCGTTACATACCCCAAGCTGGCCTCAAACTCCTGGCACTCCTCCTGCCTCAGCCTCTCAAGTGCTGGGATTGCAGGCATGTGCCACCAGCCCCAAATGCCCATGTGCCTTGTGACTGAGCCAGGCCGGGGCCTGTCCCAGGGACCGAAATGGCAGGCAGGGCATTGCAGGCTGTGCATCCTGGAAGCTCTCGGCCCTACCTCACACTCTGGGCTGAGCAGATGTCCTTTGGTCTAAGGGCAGCAGGAGGCTGTGCCCAGAACTTGCAGAAGTGAGCGAGGAGAGAGGGGCAAGGTCGGAAAGCCACAGCTCTGGAGGTGACGCTGCGGCCTGTGTCCCCAGAAAGCTTCCCCCTGTGGCCCTTGTCGTGGGGCTCGCCCTTCCCAGGGCTGCTCACTGGAGTGGTTGGAACGAAGCCCAGCAGACACGCAGTGCTGGAAGGAAGCTGAGAAGAGAGAAGGCATGGCCTTACTGACCCGCTGTGATGGGAAACTACACGGAATAGTGTTAAATGTTTTAAATGCATTGCAGTGAAAGACCCATTGCCATGAATACCCCTCAGAATCCTCCCCTCACTTCCAAAGCACTGATCCCATTGTTCGTTCCACTTTCTGCCACAGCTCGGGAGTCCTCTTTCCTGGGTGTCTTCAGTTGCACTGCCGTGACTGCCTCGATGTTCTGAGCCCATTCAAAACGGTGACCTTTTATGATCATTTTGACTTTGGGGAAGAGCTGGAAGTCACCTGGTGCCAGATCGATGAGTGAGGTGGATGAGGACACACTGGGATGTTTTTACATGCTCCCCTTCCTTTGGACAGTGCTCGGCAACAGCATTCACCGTATTTTTTATCATACCTCATGAAGACACTCAAGAAAGAGGACTCCAGAACTGCTGCCCCTGTGACCTCAGATACTGGGTAAAACACAGGATGGCACAAAAAGGAAGGGAACCTACAGGGTCAGTTGGCTCTGCCAAGCACCTCAGTAGCCATCCACCCAATACCCACCCTCAACCTGATCCAGAACACCCTGGCGCTTCTCGCCACCTTTGCTTGAACATCTCCTATGGCAGGGATCTCACTGTCTTCCAAAGTCACACCTCACACCTTTGAACCACGAAGATGGCAACAAGATTCAGTAGTAGCAAGGGCACATGGATGACAGCATTAACCTTGGTCGATATTATGGCTCGTGTCTAGATGTCCCCCAAAGCCTCAAGGGATCATGGGGGGGCCTTTTTCAGAGGTGGCTGGATCGAGAGTGTGTGGTGCTGGGATTAAGGGTGGGTGATTACTAAATCAGTCCACTGATTGGTTTGGCTCCACCCTAATCCTGTGGCCTGGATAGAATGTAAAAGGGGCATAAAGATGCTGCTAAGGTCCCTTGCTTGCTTGCTTTGCTACCTTCTGCCCGCCATGAACTGTTTTTCCTCTTCAGTGCGTATCTGCCCTGCTGCCCTACCTTGGAGCCAACTGACTATAAACTGAAACTTCTACAAACTATAGATAAACCTTTCCCCCTTTAACTTTGGGTGTCAGGTATTTTGTCTCAACAATGAGAAAAGTTTGTTTTGTTTTGTTTTTTTGAGACAGGGTCAAACTATGTAGTTCAGGCTGGGCTTGAACTCACTATAAACGTAGCCCAGGCTGGTCAAAAACTTGCAAGAATCCTCCTGCCTCAGCCTCCAAGTGCTGGAACCACAAGCATGCACCAACACACCCAACAAAAACAAAAAACTAGACAGTCAATAATCTGTAGTCTTGCTGGGGATTTAGCAAGGTCCCGAGTTCGGTCCCTGATACCAAAAAAAAAAGGGGGGGGGCTGGGGATTTAGCTCGGTTCCACCACCTGCCTTGCAAGCTCAAGGACCCAAGTTCTAACCCTGGTACCCAAAAATAAAAAGTAAAAAATAATAATAATAATAATCTATAGTCTTAGTCTCGTCTTTAGTCTTAGTTTTAGTAGTCTTTTTTCTTTTTTTTTCTATCTTTCTTTCTTTTTTTTTTTTTTTTTTAGTACTGGGGATCAAACTCAGGACCTCGAGCTTGCCAGGCAGGAGCTGTGCCAGAGTCTTAGTGGGTGGGAGATAATGGTTTGTTTATAGGGAGATCTCAAAAGGGTGGCACCAATAATCTCAAGCCTCAGTTTACCCCTTAGGGAAGTATGCAAATCTGGCCATTGTGACGTTAATCTTCTTTCCTAGGGCCTCCAGCCACAGTTCCCTGTGGGTTTTTTTCTTCTGCACTGACTCCCTGGAGGGCCTGGCCCTCTCTGACTGCCTGTATTTCTTCCTAAGTGAGCTGTCTGTAGTGACAGGACCGGCTGTGTGGGGTGCGGGAGGACCTGACCAGTCTTGCGGAGCCAGCCGGATAGATGCACGTTTTGGGGTGCAACACGGTGGCTGGCTTTGGCTGGGTTGCACTGTGGCTGAAGCGCCTGGGTGGGATCGCTTCTGCAGGGAGAGGGCCGGGACCCCGGTGATTCATCCCTCAGCCCCTCACTCTAGCAACAGCCATTGTGGTGGTCAGCCCTCACTCCCAAGATTGCCACTCCCTTCCTCATTAGACTTCACTGCTCTGGATCTGGGTCCCAGGACTCCTGTCTCCAGCGACTGCCATCCTCTCTGCCCTCCTCGCTAGTCCAGTGGGGTTCTCACCTGCCTGGCTTGGTGATGGAGAAAATGTGCAAATGAGTACCCTCCTTAAGCTAATGACCCTAGCATTCAGGAAGCTGAGGCAGGAGGATCAACACAAATTTGAAGCCAGCCTGAGCTACGCAGTGTGTTTCAAGCCAGTGTGGATGATAGAGACCCTGTCTCAGAAAAAAACTCGGTACCCCCACTCACTACTGAGCAATGATCTTGACTATTATCTCCTTTGCTATTTCTGCAGGATGGGAATTATGATTATCATCATTGTCCCTGTTCACCAGATAAGAAAACTGAAACTCAGTTCTTTGAGTAATGTCTCGAGGGAACATTAGACTCATCAATGCTTTGCTTATTTGTCAGCCAGGAAGATTTGCTGCTAGAGTCAAGGTCCTACTTGACAGGTCCCCTAAGTTGGACCCCCACCCAAGCAGACCCATCCATGCTCAGGAGCACTGAGATAACAAGAAGCCAGCAGCACCCTGCTCCTCCTGACACCACCCTGTTTATCAGCCAGCCACAGGACCACCACCCATGGGACTCTAAAATTTTCCACACTCTTGACCAGTGCCCCCTCCCCTACCTAAACTGCCCCATATCAACCATGCACACCCTCCCCTCAGTGCCAACGGCCTTCTCGCCCTTGGCCCATCTCCACCCAGATGGCAATAAACTCATTGCATGTTGCTTAGACTTTGCCTGCCTCAGTGGTCTCAGTCGTGCCTCCGTCTGACCTTACACTCACTATTGATTCCCCACAGTCTTGTTACATTATCGCTTTGGTTTGATCAATATATTTTGGCACTCTTAGAAATACGGTGCAGAAATTCAAAGTATTTGTTTCCTTATAACCCCTGGAAGTGATAAAATCTGGGAAAGGAAACTAGGGTGAAGCCTCGAGTTACTGGTTGGGCTTCGTGAGGCGGCAGGGTTCTCTGGCTCATCTACTGTGTTACAGTGTAAACCTTACCTTGTGTTCGTATGATCTCTAACCACTCAGCTCTGCAGAGAACACCAGAGGCTGTTGCTAATCCTATTCCACGTGTCTTTGCAACATCATTCTGAAGATTATATTTATTTATTGTTTATTTGTTTGTTTGATTGGGTTTTTTTGTCAGACAGGGTCTCACTATGTAGTTCAGTCTGGTCTTTAACTCACTATGCAGCTCAAGATGGCCTGGAACTCATGGTGATCCTCCTGCCTCAGCCTCCTGAGGGTTGGGGTGACAGGCGTGCGCCACCACACCCGACTTGTTCAGAGATTTTAGACATACTGCTAGTGGATTGGGAAATGGGAGAGATCACACTCTGGTACATTCCTTTACTAGCCTGTGAGCACTAACTTCTGGAAGCCTTGCCAACTGCCTCGGGGCTGCTGGGAATCCCTGGGGAGCTGCGCAGAGTTCACTTCAGTGAGGCAAGAGCCCCAGTGAGATGCCACACACAGAGGGCTGGTAGCAAATCCAAAGATGGGTGGATGGTGTGGCCCAACTCTGCCTGCTACTAACTTGCTATGACTGACCCCTAGCCAGTCCACTTCCGCATCTGCAGCTGCACCAGAAGGGAGTGGGCTCTTCCTGCATCAGTGTTACCCAGATTTTATCAGAAATAAACCCCCATACATGCCTGTAATCCCAGTACCCAGGAGGCTGAGGCAGGAGGATCTCATCACAAGTTCAAGGCTAGCCTGGGCTACACAGGGACTTGAAGCCCAGCTGTAATTACATAGCAAGACCCTGTCTCAAAAAAACCAAAACAGACAAAAAACGAGCCAAGACCCAAGTCCCACCTCAGACCATATGCATTACGGTCTTCCCATTGAGATTCCAGGGGGTTTATGTGCACTTTACATTTTGAGATGGACATTTAGATGGCTTCTTGATCTTTTATTTTTAGTTAACAGATAAGTAAAAATTACATATGTTCATCAAGCACAGCATGTTATGTTTCAGTGTTACATATGTGGAAGAGGAAATCAAGCCAGTTAATACATGCAATACCTTGACTTCTAAAATTTATGCTAACAATCCTCCTTCCCCAACGCCCCCAGGGATACCAAGGTTAATGACAGGGTGGGTTGAATTCTGACTGCACAAACTTGGCTCTACGATTTAGGCAAACTGCTTCCTTCTCTGAGCTCACAACAGAGGCGGTCCTCTGGATTGAGAACGTGTTTTACCAGCACACACGTATTGATAAGGTGAGGAATAAAAGCCCAGTCCTCTAAGAGTGGAGCCAGCTTGCTGTTTTCCTTCCACCCACCTCCCACCCACCCCCAGTTTTTTGAGACAGGGTCTTGCTGTGTAAGTTCAGGATAGTCTTGAACTCACTATGTAACCCAGCCCGGCCTCCAACTCACAGCGATCCTCCAGCCTCAGCTTCACGTCCGCAGGGATTACAGGCGTGTGCCACCACGCCCTGCTGCTCCTTTTCATTTTAATTATAGGAGAGTAGATACAATATTAGCTGGAATTTAGAAACATTTTTTTATTTGATTTAAATCTGCTGTCAGACCTTGTTGGCTTTCTTTACAATCTTGCCACGCCCTCTAAATAACCATTCAATTTCCCATTCAGAACTCCCATTAAATCGGGCACTTTTCTCCCCAGTTTGCCGGGAGTACATAAACAAAACGCGATTCCTTGCTGGGCTAGATCTCCGCGCAAGCCTCTCCTGCTGACACCAGGCTTCATTGAGAAAAACAAAAATACAGCCAGCTCTCCCGGAAGTCCCGCCCACCTCCAGCCAGAGAGACACCGGCATTGGACGAAAAGACGGGAAGGCGGGGCTAATACCGTGAATGTGGACGGCCATCTATTCTAGTTGTCCTGGTTTCTCCACGGACACTAGAGGCTGAAGAACAAATCTGGGATGTACCATTCTCTTAACACAATCATTCGATCTAAATTGAGACATTCGTAGGGGTATCTATAATAAAGTTCCCAGAATCATTTTTACATTTTTCCTATGATACTGGAAAACTCGAGATATATAACGAGCCCTCCGGAGCATGTGTTTCCCTTTTCCCCCTGTCAACCTCGGGTCTAAACCAGTTGGATTTGCTTACGTCACTTCCTGGAGTAGAGCCGCGAATACCGGAAGCCCCCCGCGTGAGAAGAGAGGGGCTGTGCCGCGCGGGGGATGCTATGGGCCGTAGGAAGGCGCCAGGTAATGGATCCCTGGGCCGGGCCCTTATCCGCCACCAGACTCAGCGGAGCCGTAGCCACCGTCGCACTGACTCCTGGGTGAGACAGACCGTGTTATCTTTCTTATTTCTGTCTAGTTTTAAGAGTCCCGAATGCTACAAAATTTGAGGTAAAAAGTCGCAGGGAAATTTTCCACAAGTGACGCGTTTTGCAGAGTGCGTAGGAGTTTCTGCCTGGCAGGGCAGTGGGTCCTAGCAAGGCACAGGGCACGGCACGGCACAGAGGTAGAAGCTTGAAACAAGCAGGACTGGTGTGATGACAGTCAAAAATGCCGAAATGTCCTGAATACGTTTGTCTTTTGCCCTAGAAATCTTAAGAGCTCTTTGAAGTTTTTGAGCAAGAAAGAAACAGGCTCGCGCCTGTGATCGGAGCACTCCAAAGAGAGAGGCAGGAGAATCGTGAGTTCAGGGTTGGCCAGGACTACGTGGGGAGACCAGGTCTCAAGGAAAAAAATATCGGTTTGTTCAAACAGTCGATCCCGAAGTTATTGGTTGCCAGCAGAAGTACAAAGTCACTCAGATCCCTGCTTCCCTGTTTTTTCCTCTTAAGTATTTTAGCCATTTTCCAGGTGTGGCAAGACCTAACAAGGCCTCGGGAGGGTCATGTGGGAGCCTGAAAGAGTCAGCGGTTTGACTTGTGTGTGACACTCTGGTCTTCATTCGCACCGTCTGCCCCCCAAATATTTGAGGACATTCTGAGTTCCCAGGAAGATGTGCTGAAGTTCTTTATGTCCCTGGTGCTCACCGGACAGTTTATGGGCCGCTGTCAGAGCCATGTGCATAGTCTGCGGTCTGAGCAGCCCCCGCTCCGATCTAAGTTACTCTGGACCTTAGGTCACTGGTAATTTTACTTGACTTTGAAACAACTTGTTATTAATGTGGCCCTTTGAAAATAGTGGGGAAATTGAGTGTGAATTCTAAAGATTCTAATTCTCATTCTGAGTTTGGCTGATTCTGTGACTCTGCAAACCACCTAAGCTTTGACCCTTAATTTTTTTTATTTGTTTGTATCTGTACTAAGTATATAACTTAGAATGGTGTTTGTCAAACTGAGTTACATCTTGAATCAGTTTAGTTAGTTTGCAACTTTTTTTTTTTTTTACTCCAATAGGAAGATATTAGGGTGTTATAAGTGCTCAGGTAACTTGCTTCAAGGTTCTTTGTTTCCATTTTACTGTGGTGACCAGTATTTACCCACTTGGATCGCTGTGTGTCATGCACTTTCGGGTCACTATATAAAATGTATTTCTTGTTGTGGAGCACTGACAAAAGAATTGTGACTTAACTGGCTGGCAGGGTCAGGCTGATTCACGTTCTGTGATTGTCACTTAGTTGGTAACTGTAGGCAAATTATTGTACCTATTTAAGTCTCAGTTTCCTAATCAGTAAATGGAGATACAAGAAAATGAACTTCAAAAGATTTTGGTAACTAAACGATGAAGGGAAAGTGTCCTCCTGAAATGAGAAAGTGCTCATTTAAGTGCTAATTATTAGTATGAGATTCTGAAGAGGCTAAACCACCCTCAAGACCATAGAGAGTTTGCAAAGGAGGTCGGAGCCTCTTGAGCGTCAGGAGCAGAAGAAAGCAGCTTTCCTGTTGTGCTTCGGTTCATAGTTGCACACAAGCGAACTCAACGATGGCTATGACTGGGGCCGTCTCAATCTGCAGTCGGTGACTGAACAGAGCTCCCTCGATGACTTTCTCGCAACTGCAGAACTGGCAGGAACAGAGTTCATAGCTGGTAAGTCACTTGATGCTGGTGTGTGACACTGCTCCTGTCACCTCTTGCTGCAGAGCTGTGGATGCTTGAAAGTGTTTAGGACACCGCTGAGGGCAAAATCAGGCCCTCCATGCCTCAAAGAGGGTCGCCTAAGAGCAGTAAGGTAAAGCCCGGGAGAGTTTGAGCTGTGAGGTGCCATGTTTGCTGCAGGCTTTTAGTCAGTTCTAGAGAACACTGGAGAGTGTAACTTCTTCCTATCAGGTTCAAGAAATGCAGTCTCTGAGGGAAAAAAGATCAGTAAACATTATAGTGGAGAACGTCTTTATTATTAAAAACAAGATCTTATTTCTGCTTCGGTTAGGAAATTTGAATCTATCTTTATCTAGCTATCTATATCTCTGTATTTTATTGTTGTTGTTTTTGAGACAGGGTCTTGCTGTGTAGCTCAGGCTGGTCTTGAACTCACTGTGTAGCCCAGGCTTGCCTGGAACTCACAGCGATCCTCCTGCCTCGGCCTCCCAAGTGCTGGAATTTCAAGCATTCATCACCATCCCCAGCTGTGACTACACATATATATATATGGGGGTGGGTGGGGGTTGAGACAGGGTCCCAATATGTAGTTCAGGCTGGCCTTGTATTCACTTCACAGCCCAGGCTGGCCTCAAACTCATGGCAGTCCTCTTGCCTCAGCCTCCCGAGTGCTGGGATTATAGGCATGAGCCACCACACCTGGCTTGTGACGATATTTTTAAAGGACCAGTTGACATCATGAATTTTTCCATCCATATAATCTTAGTCACTGCTTTCCTTTTCTTTCTTTCTTTTTTTTTTTTTTGTATATGGCCTAAGCACTTAGAAAAGTACCTGTCAGAGATGGTATTGTAAACTATTATTTCTATACTCCTTTATTATTATAAATGTCATGTTTAGCAAATCACTTACTGATTTTGTTCAAAATACTTTTATGACTACCAGCTACTCAGCCATTGTACTAGCTGCTCAGAATATGATGTTTAATTATAAGCTATTTCTACAAGATTTTGTTTTGGATGCTGTGAAATCTTTGAGGACAGTGTGGTCATAAAAGATAGGGTCAGGAGCCCTTTCTATCTGAAAGCAAACTGGGGCCAGGCTGCCCTCAGCATTATGGGGACGTGGAAGAGATGGCAGTGGGTTGGAGTGTGGATGCCGGGTGCAAGGAGTTTGATGGTTCGGCTTGAGAACGGGTGAAGGGATATCCACGAAGTTTCCACCAAATGGGGAAAGAAGGGACGCTGCAGGGTGGACAATGGCCTGAGGTAGAGGGTGAGGATCGAGGGGCCAAGTGTTTGCAGAGGGGGACAGAGCTGTGGGAAGGTTGGCTGGAAGGTCACGAAGCACGTATGGGGGCTGTTGGTCGAGGGCAGGTTGGGTGACCAGGGTATGGGCGGTGTGGCCCATGAGAGTCACAGGCTGTGGTCTTTCACCTTGAGGGGAGAGGCGTGGTGTCAGGGTGTTAGCACTGAAGGCAGGATTCAGGAGGGCGCTCAGCTCACCTCCCCAGTGGAATCCCCATTGTCCTGGGGCGCGGTGTGGCTGAGTGGTGAAATAGGGAGACCCAGAGCAGCAAAGGGTACAGCCTAGGCAGAGGCCTCTCTGGTTCATGCATACACTTGGCTTCTCTAGCTCTCATCTTTCTTTCTTTTTCATTTTCTTCTCTTTTTTTTTTATTTTGACACAGGGTCCACTCAGTTGCCAGGCTGGGCTCAAATTTTTTTTTTTTTTTTTTTTTTTTTGGTACCAGGGATCGAACTGGGGACCTTGCACTTGCGAGGCAGGCAGCGGAACCACTGAGCTAAATCCCCAGCCCAACCTTCTCTTTCTTGACCTAGTCACTAGTGAGAAGTGTTCATCGTGTCTGGTATAAATCATAGCAGTATATATAGTGGTTCACCAGGTCAAACTGGAGCAAGTGTGTTCACTCACTGTTTCCTCCTCACCACTCCCATTGGCTTAAAATTATTCTTTGTGGGCCGGGGATTTAGTTCAGTGGTTCCGGCGCCTGCCTCACAAGCGCAAGGTCCTGAGTTCAATACCCGGTACCAAAAAAAAAATTATTCTTTGTATGAAAAATGAAAAGATAGATTGTGCTAAACCACACTGTTTAAAGGACTACCTTCACCACAGGGAGGTTAATAAAATCAATGCTTAAAGAAGTGGTGAGTTTCTGAAAATTTTAGTGAATATTTCTTAATTTCTCTCTCTTTGTAGAAAACTTCATTTGGAAATTATAATTTGTTCAGGGCTAGAGGAATCTAAATGAAGAAGGCTTAAATTCTGTTTTAGTCTATGTATCGTTAAGTTTTCCAAGTTTATCAAGATGATCAACATTCTGTATTTTATATTGCCTCTTAAATAAGAGTACTTTTTCTTTTCTGTAAACAGAGAAGCTAAATATTAAGTTTGTGAACCCTGAGGCCAGAACTGGACTGCTGTCTTTTGAGGAGAGCCAGAGAATTCAGAAGCTTCATGAAGAAAACAGACAGTTCTTGAGTATACCGCGGAGGTGAGCGAGCAGAATCTAGACCATGGCCGCCAAGGATGACACCGAGCTGCTTCCTTCGTCAGCTGCCACTGTCATATCCAAATTCCATATTTTATTTTGGTAACTTATACATGGAATTTTTTCCCCCTCTGTGATTGTTTCAGACCAATCTGGGACAATAAAACTAGCCCAGAAGAACTCAGACAGGCGGAGAAAGATAACTTCCTGAAATGGAGACGCCAGCTTGTCCGGTGAGCGTCCGACCCTAAGGCTTTGCCCTGAGCCCCCAGTTGGGCCTTTGGCTGCTTGCGTTGCCATCTGCCCTTGCATTCTTGAGTGCTCAGAGAGGGGAATGGTCGTGTGCTGTTCTCGGGTGCACATGGGAGCCTACGCAGACAGGATGTGGATCCTGTATGAGAGGTCAACCTGCAGGTCTTAGATACCTGAAGGATAAAACTTGAATATGGTGGACTGTGAGGTGAATAACTGATTTTTATATTATATTGACTCAGCAGGAGGTATAGAAAAATAGTTTGACAGTATTTGTGTACTTTTTTTGTTGTTTGTTTTGTTTTGTTTTGTTTTTGGCACGGGGGATCAAACTCGGGTCCTTGCACTTGCATTGCGGGCGGCGGAACCACTGAATTAAATCCCCGGCCCGAATGCATACTTATTTTTTAACGTAATGAATTTGGGCTTTTATATTACTTAAAATTATCTATTATAATCTGGCAAAGATACAAACTTCTCATTCTAAAGCCAGGCTAGAAGAGAAACAAAAGTTGTTACTGACTCCATTTGAACGAAACTTGGACTTTTGGCGTCAGCTCTGGAGGGTCATTGAGAGAAGGTGAGTAATCATTTTTCTTCTATTTTGTTGTGTAGTCCAGGCTGACCTTGAACTTACTGGGTATCCCAGGCTGGCCTCGAAATTGAGATGACCCTCCTGCCTCAACCTCATGAGAGCTGGGATCACAGGCAAGCAGCACCACGCCTGGCACCATTTTCTTTAGTGTAATGAAGAGTCTCTGGTAGTGGTATTAGATTGATTGATTGATTGATTGATTTTGGTGCCAGGGATCAAACTCAGGACCTTATGCTTGTGAGGCAGGCGCGGTGCTGCTGAGCTAAATCCCCAGCCCTTAGATTTGGATGTTGACACAGGCCCATGGGCTCATAAGAGGGCAGGGATTAAAATATACAAAAAGCTATTGAGAATTTTTTAAAGTGAAAGGGTTTTTTTTACTAGATGAGTAGATTGACAAGTATGACAATAATGAGCATCCTCTGTAATACAAACTACAGTTATGCTGTAGTTATTCCCACACAGATGCTTTGAGTTTCTGCTGGTCACGGGAAACGTGGGCATCAAAAGGGGTAGATAGTTGCCTGTGGCAAGCATGAATGTTACAGGAGAAGAACGGCAGCACTCACTCAGCAGGCTCTCGTGGGGTCCAGCTAACTCCCAGACACCCAGATGTATGCTGTGCAGGCCGCATTCCCGGGAACTTGGCACCCAGTAGGTGGCTAGGCCATCATGGGCCTCACTGTGGACTGTACTCCTGCTGTTTCCATGGTGTGTACCTGGGCTCATGCCCAGTCCTCAGCATCCAGCCTCCTGGACAGAAATAAAACTGGGTATGTTACTGTCTTACTTTCTTGTTGCTGGGACAGAATACCTGGCACCCATAAGTTAAAGGGAGGAAAGGTTTATTTGGTTCACAGTTTGTGGAGGTTTCAGTGCATAGTTGGCTGGCTCCCAGGCAGGGCGGGGTGGGGGGGTGTGTGGCAGAGAAACAGTTTGTGGTAGGGCAGGCAGGAAGATGCGAGCCTTCCTCCTCCCTTCCCTTTGTATTCCACCAGGCTGCAAGCCCATTGACTGCCACCTACACCCAGGGGGGACTTCCCTCACCAGTAATTCCATCACCCACACCCAGAACTATGTTAAACCCATCAGGAGACTGGTCTAGCTATCACACAGCCATGATCCAGCCACCTCACAAAAGCCCTGCCAACGAGCACATGATGCTTCAGGATAGAGCACCTAGATACAAGCTGAAACAGTTGCCCATGACATCTGTCACCCATATTAGTTTCTATAAACATTAAATGTAATTGCCATCAAGTCATTGGAGAATTTAATTCCGTTTGTAACTTACATGGTACATTATTTGCTTCCTTTTTTTTTTTTTTTTTTTTTTGGAGACAGAATCACAGTATGTAGTTTAGGCTGGCCTCAAACTGGGATTACAGGCATGCCCCACCAGGCTGGGCTTTGCTCTCTATTTTAAAAATACAAAAACTTTATATTCACAGTGTCTTACTAAATTAAAAAATAAATTTTAGAGGGCCAGGGATTTAGCTCAGTGGTTCCACTGCCTGCCGCACAAGCGCAAGGACCCAAGTTCAATCCCTGGTACAAAAAATTAATTAATTAATTAATTAATTTTAGAAATAATCTGAAATGTGACCTGAAATTTAACCTATTAAAAAAATCCATATGAGGGATTTTGTTTAACCCACTGAACGTGGGGAAAAGAAAACAAAGACTTGCCTATGAGTTGTGGTGAAAGCCAACCTCCCTTATAGATGTCATCTTCTCTAGTCCACCTTTTTCTCTGAACTCCTGGTTACTTACTCTTGAGTACTTTGTTCTCATTGGCCAGTTGTTTGGAATTACAGTATATCTGTATAGTAAAATGTTTAAGATCTTATATCATTAAAGAATACCATATAATAATAGAACAGAATATTTGTACAGGGGACCCTTGAGTTACAATTGGCCTGACTTGGCTTACAACTGGAATTTTAGTTTTAACTTACGAAAAAAGTCTTGAGTTACACCCCAAATGCTGGCTTCTTGTGTTTCCAGATGGTCTCTGATACAGATTTAATAAAGAGTTCTGGAAAGAACATTACCTTTCCTGTGTGGGGTTGAGAAATCCTAGGCCAGTGTCTAAAGATATTGAGATCTGCCTAGAAAAAAGTATGGCCTAGGGCTGGAAATTTAGGTCAGTGAGTGGTTCCCCTGCCTGGCTCACAAGGGCAAGGTCCCGAGTTCGATCCCCAGTACCAAAAAAAAAAGTATGGCCTAAAATTATACAGGAGAGACTTTGAAGGCAATTGGCCAACTTGAGTTACAACCAGCTCTCAGGAACGAATTGAGTTTGTAAGTCAAGGATCCACTGTACTTTGCCAAGCCACTATAAAAATTTCTCTAAAAGGAAGTAAGTTACATGTGGAAATCTCTGCCCCCTCATTCCTTGGGGGTCAGAAATGCTTCTGTAATACACTACATTAATAGAGGCATTCTCAGTGCTGCCAGTCTTATAGTAGAGGTTGAGCGGTAGCATATTTCCCTTACATTAAAAAAAAAGAGAACTCAATACCCAGTGGAATACAAAGGGGAGTAGGATTCCCTCGGTTACAGATGGAAGGGCAGTGGGCCATGTCACAGCAGAGAAAGGAGTAATTGTTAAGGACTAGGGGCGATTTTTTGTTTGTGTGTTTTTCAATTGAGACAGGGTTTTGCTGTGTAGTTGAGTCTGGCCTTAAACTCACTGTGTACCCCGACTGGCCTCAAACTTGAGGTAATCCTCCTTCCTCAGCCTTCTGAGTGTTGGGATAACAGGCTTGTGTCAGCACACCTGAGAAAACTGTAAGGTATTTTTGTTTTGTTTTGTTCTGTTCTGTTGTTTTGGTAATGCTGGGAATTGAACCCAGGGCCTACCTGTGAGCTAAACATGTGGTCCACCACTGAGCTACAACCCCAGGCCCTGGGAGTTTTTTTATTTTTATTTTTTTAGTTAGGCTTTTAAAAAAGAATGATTTAGATAAGTTGAGAATGGGAGATTTTTATTGTGTTCCATGCGATACTGAGGAGGATTTCTGATCATAAGAAGTTGATGAGTCAACTTTCTCTAATCTCACTTTCTTAGCATAGTGAGGAGGTTTTTGTCTTCTTCAAAGGTTTGTGAATTATTTTCAGGGATTTGATAAATGAGCATGCATTTATTTATTTATTTATTTATTTATTTATTTATTTATTTAATTTTGTGGGACAGGGTCTCACTATATAGTTCAGCCTGGTCTTGAACCCACTATGCAGCCCAGGCTGACAATCCTCCTGCCTCAGCCTCCCAAGTGCTGGGATTACAGGTATGCGCCACTACACCCAGCAAACTTTTATTTTAAATGACACTTTTTTTTTTTTTTAATGATGCTTTTTAACAAGGAACCTACAGGCTGTATTTTTTAAATCTATAAAATGTATCTGGTAAGAACACCAGGAAACCAAATAATTAAATTAAAATTCTCGGAAAAGAATATTACTATATTTATCATTGTTGCCAAGAAAATAGTACTTGAAGCCGGGCATCATGGTGCATGCCTGTAATCCCAGCACTTGGGAGGCTGAGGCAGGAGGATCTTTCCAAGTTTGAGGCCACCCGGGGCTACACAGTGAATTTAAAGCCAGCCTCAACTGCATCGCAGAACCCTGTCTCAACTGAAACACACACAAAAAATCCCCCAAGTCCTTAACCATTACTCCTTTCTGTGCTGTGACATGGCCCACTGCCCTTCTATCTGTAACCGAGGGAATCCTACTCCCCTTTGTATTCCACTGGGTATTGAGCTCTTTTTTTTTTTTTTTTTTTTTTTCAAATGTAGGGGAAATATGCTACTGCTCAGCCTCTGCTGTAAAGCTGGCATGGTGCATCCATTTTCCTACAAATAACTTAAATGTAGAAAGTCGCATAGGTGCCCTCACCCTGCTCCCTCAGGGCAGATTGGGCTGGGATGTGAGGTTTGTTTTTAGCTTCCTTCTATTTCCTCCCTTGTCTCTTTCCTCTGTGTTTCTTTTCTCTGTATTCTGGCCCCTGACCTTTGTAAGAGGCCCGTCAGAGTTGGGTGACGGCCTGCCGTATAGGGGAGCTTGCCAGGGTGACTAGGGTGGCTGGCCGGGACGGGGTGTGTGTAGTAGGCATGCCTGAGGTGTCCTTCTGGGGAAGAGGCCCAGTGGGATGGTTCAAGGGGCCGGACAGGCATCTCAGGGTGGAGTGCAAGCTGCCTTTAATCCCCCAGCCACCCTCTCCCAGGCCTGGGGTCTGAGTTCTGGTGCCTCTGGGGTCCCTTTCTCCTATAGCAAAGGCTGCCCACTGCTTTAGGGTAGAGGAAGAGGCTGTGCAGGGTTGCAGTTGCCTGGTGAAAGGAACAGCAGGGCCGACCCGGGAGCAGGCAGGTTCTGGCCATGCCTCACCCTTGCTCTGTTAGACACCCCAGGTCATCTGGATCTCTGAGACACAGGCAGTCTTGCCTGTGAGACTCAGTGCCTTGCCTTCTTAGTTGCTGCTCTTCTTTCTTTCTCTTTGTTCTAGAGTTTCATCCTTTACTCCCCCTTTTGAGTCCGGAGAGGGAGCAGAGGTGGCTGTGTGCGTTCGGTCTTCATGTTGGACAGGAAGGCCCTTTGCCCTGGGTGCCCCTCAGTCAGCAGCTATTTCCTCAATGAGCTATGCTTGATGACACGTCCAGCATCAGGTGGATTGTAGTACTGCTTGCTCTTACATTCATTATATGATACCTGCCCCACCCCGTGACACAATAGGTTTCTAACTCAAGGACCGCAGTTCCTGTCACATGGAAATAGATCTGTGTTACACAGAAATGTTATTAAGAAGTGACTGGTGCCACATCTTTCACAGGAAATATTTACTGCTGTCTTCTCTGTCACAGATGTCTCCTGTTTGCTAACAGGCTGGCTGGGCCATCTGCCCCATTAATTCTAGTAGTGGCTCTCAGAGTGTTTGGGGTACACCACGCAGCAGGATGTAGGAAACTGCCAGTTCTGAGGGCAGAACACTATTCCAGCAAGACAACCCACTTCCACTGGGCCACACAGTGCATCCTGCCTCACAGCTGGCACTTTGCACCTGGGTCCAGCACTCGAAGCAAGCTGGCCAGAAGTGTCTTCCTTTCTCGCTGGCATTTCGTAGCTCTTATTCTGTCGGCATATCTGGGTCTTAGGAGTTTAGCTCATCATCCAAATTGATTCAATTAGAAAGTGAGCTAGGACCTTATGGGAGGAAATACTGGAGCCAGCGTAATTAGAAAACATAGCAGCAATTTGTCAAAACTTCACAAGTCTGTGAGTTTTTTTAAATCCCAAGATCATGCTAGGAGTTTAGCTCTTCTAAAAGCAGATGCACTTGGAGTTGTCAGGAGCCCTGCCCTCCATGGTATCATTGAGCCCTCATCTAGTAGAGTTGCGGGGTTGCCTGAGAAAAGGACGCTGGCCAACCTAGAATTGGAGGAGCCTGGTGTGGGGTGGTGACAGTTCTCGGGTTCTGTCCAGCAGTGGTCACAGCCAGCCTCGGAGCATCTCCTTAGCTGCAGAGGCTGCAGGGAGGAAGGAGTCTTGCTGTGCTGTGGGTGAGGAGCTGGCTGTTGCCTGCAGGTTTTCTCATTACCACCTTTTCATGTGATGGAAGAAGCTGGAGTCGTTCTTGCTTCAGTGCGCCAGCTAGACCTGGTATTTGGTGGCTTTGTATTTTTGCCATGAAATACATTCTTGGAGCTGACGGGTGATTGTTGGCTAACTGCAAACTGTCTTCTCTGCAGTCCTGAGTTCAAGTGAGATCTTGGCCTCTCAGTGGCAGGTAGCAGCAAGAGCTTTATTACTTTTCTTTTGAGGCCTGAATACGAGTGCAGATGAGGAACTGGGTTTTTAGTAGACGTCACCTAGGAGTGCAGTGTTTGAATATTCTTTGCCTCTCCAGGAGGGAGGCGTAGAAGTCACAGTGGGAGTTCAGCAATGAGCACCTCTTGAGGCTGCCACAGAGCGGGACCTCTGGCCAGAATGCCCGGCTTCCTTTCTGGGCTCCACTCCTCTTAGCAGGGGTGGGCAGGTTTCATAGCTGCTGTAGCCTCAGTTCAAACTGAGAAGAGCTGTGCCTGAAGGGACAGGCAGCTGTGTGGCAGGGTGCGGTGTGTAGGAGGGTTTGCTGCTCTGCCTTCAGTGTGCAGGCAGTGGTCCCTCTCCTTTCCCAGAGCCTGACTTGATCATCTCACTTGCATTTCAGTGATATTGTGGTCCAAATAGTAGATGCTCGGAACCCACTCCTGTTCCGCTGTGAGGACTTGGTAAGTACCGATTTCCATCCTTGGAACAGCGGAGAGGCCAGGGCCTTAGCACGGTTCTTGCAGGCAAGATCTGTGCTCTCCTCCCCCTCGGCCAGCAGCTTGAACAGGCCCACTGCTTAGACGGATGTCTTCTCGGATAGCTGTTTCCATCTGCAGGAAAGCACACACTTCCAAGAGTCTCTTTTAGTTTAGAAACCATTTTATTAGTACACTTTTGCCGGTTTCTAAGAGACACTAATCGAAATAGCATTGTACTTACTTTAGCATACTGTCCTAGTCAAATCACCTCTCTGCTCAATGCATCTCTGTTAAGTTCTTCTCACACCCTATTTACTACCCTTTGTGGTATTTTACAAGTGAACTAAGTTTCTAAAACTGCAAGGAATGGTAACTAAGGTGTAAGGATTACATGGAGTAACATGAAACAATTTGAATTAACAGAACACTGTACACATGTGAGGCGACCATATTTCTGTTTGAGAACTACCTATAATAAATAGTACAGGTGTTTTTTTTAATGGGTAAATAACAAAAATCTTAACAGTAAAACCTTTTTTCAGTTTACTGAAAGGATTAATTAGAATGTACCAAGATTTAAAATCTTTAAGTTAGAAAGTGATTTAAAACTGGGGGCAAAAAAACCCCCCTGTTATTGCAGATCCTCAACATATAACTAGCCCAGCTTTTTCCTTGTGTGCGAGGCCTTGGAGTGTGTTTGCCTTCCCAGGAATGTTATGTGAAAGAGCTGGACCCCGCTAAGGAGAACGTCATCCTGATCAACAAGGCAGACCTGCTGACCGCCGAGCAGCGCAGCGCCTGGGCCTCGTACTTTGAACAAGAAGGCGTGCAGGTTATTTTCTGGTCAGCTTTGACCGGAGCTGCCCAGCCAAATGGGGACTCTGAGGTAATCTGGGCCCTCTGCAGAGCGATCTCCAGGGAGGGTTTCGTGCAGATAAACGGGCTTCGTTTGCGTTCTGTTTCTTCTTGGTAGAGATTTACTTGTTTCACTTTTGGGGGGTTTTTCCAGTAAATGCTCTGATAGTAGGATGACCTGTAGAAAAGTCGATCACAGTTATTTTCTTTGTGGTTTTCAAGTAGTCTGTCATAGTGTTAGGCACTGATACGTTAAATTTTTTTTTTTTTTTAACTTTAGGCAGGAGGTTTTCTAGGAAGTTTCATAATGACCTTGTAGTTGCTTTTAAGAGAAGTTAGAACAAAAGGGTACAACTAAAGGATATAGTGACTTCTCATGGCTTGATCCAAATCTCTTCACTTTGTTTTGAAAACAAAGAAACTAACCCTAAATTAAGATATGCCGTGTTATTTACCTTTAATGCAAATTTTACAAAAACAATTTGGGGCTTATTTTATTTTGCAATAAAATAAGTATGAAAAGAAATGAGTAACAGAACTTTCAGGCTGGCCCCATTTCCCCTGCCCCGCTTCCCTTTCCTCTGCATTGGTACCGCTGAGGTTTAGCGGGAGCGGAGCTGGGTGCCCCTGTGAGTCCGGCCTTCCCTGCCAGGCTCAGCTTCTCACTGGAAGACTCTCAGTGGCCCGGGAAATTCGATTCTTTTTCTCTAATTCAGAAAGCCCTTGCCCTGCTCTGTGGTGTGAGGAGGTGGCTTCCTCTCCTTGGTTTTCTCTTTGCAGACTGCACATCTTTGGCTGTCAGATTCTGCAGAGCAGGGCTCAGACCTCTTTCCAAGTGCCGGCCTGCAGCAGCAACCTGAGGGCATCGGGAGGTGCTGGTGTAGAGTGCGTGCTGTGGAGACCCCTCTTCTCTTGATCAGGGTCCCCCCAATTCCACCCTCGGCATTTATGCCCTTTCAGAGCTATGGGATGCTGTGGGTTCCATTAGCCTATGAGTGACCACATCCTTCAAACTTTTTTTTTTAAGACTTTCATTTTTAAAATGATAGAACAGTCTACAGTGAGGACACACTGACTTCTTTACATTCACTGCTCATTTATCATAAAAGTGCTTCCAATTGTATGGCTGTCTTGTAAGCCATGTTTCTTTTTAAGTTGCCAGATGTGATCATGATGTCCCCATGTTATGTCACCTTTTCTAATGCTTGGGATGCCTATTTGACCAAGTTCACTGCACCCCTTTTTGTCACTGTCAACCACCCTAATCCTAAATGATTTAGGAGAGATACAAGGTCTGTCTCACTTTCAAATCCCAACCAGTTCACCCTAAGGTGGAATCTTTCTGTCTATGCATCATGGAGCTTTTTGACCTATCAAAGGCAGTGATAAGGGCTGGGGATGTAGCTCTGTGGTGCTGCACCTGCCTGGCAGGCGCAAGATCCTGAGTTCAATCCCTGGGGTGTGTGGGGGGGTGGATGATAAGAGAAGAGCAGGGCTGGGGCGCAGCTCAGTGGTAGAGCGCTTGCCTGACATGCGGGTTTGATCCCCAGCCACACACAAGCAGGGAGTAGCAGTTTACATGCAAAGACATGCATGTAAAATGACTCAGATGACAAATTATGCCCTTGTTTTGTGCAGAGAGAATGTTAAAATGCTTTATTGTAAATGACAAATGCTTTGTCTTATTGTGCAGCCCATTGTAAAATAGTGTATTGCCCAAAAGTCAGCATAACACTTTCCCTTGCTTTGAGATTTATTTTAAATCAGCATAGTCATCTGTGTGATTGTCTGTGAAGTTCACAAGGTGTGGAAACAGCCAAGGGCTGCAGCTCTGGCCCTGCCTGAAAGGCCTCGCCGACTGCTGTGTACATTCGCCTTTCCTGGGCTCCCTGACTTTTCTTTCCCCTGTTCGTTTTACATAACTGGCTCATTGCATGTCATCGCTCACATGAAAAGTGAGGTTACAATCTTGGGAGCTTTGGGTTTCTGTCATTTCTCCAGGAGCCAGGGAACCGCAACACTGGGGAAGCCAGCACCGCAGAGTCTGAAGACTCCAGCTCTGAGGAGGGCACAGCTCCGCCTGCTGAGGGCCACCCTCGCCCACGCAGTGAGGCCGCGGCTAGCAGCGAGGAAGACAGCAACAGCGAGTACGAGGACTGCTGGGAGGAGGAGGAGGAGGACTGGCACACGTGCTTGGAGGAGGACAGTGGTGCCGAGGAGGAGAGCCATCCTGCACAGCCGGGAGCTGAAGGCATGGAAGCCCGGCAGAGGAGGCCTCGCACCCTCAGCCACCTAGTGTCCAAGTGGGAGCTGCTGGAGTTCTTAAAGCGGCTGCACACCGGCAGGAGGGTGAAGGCCGGGCAGCTCACCGTGGGCCTGGTAAGATGCACTGCACACTGAGGGTTGCATGCATCCTGGGCAGCCACACAGGAGCCCCTAGAATAAGGCTGCTGCCCTAAGGCGTGCCCTGCCTCCTTGTTCCCCTGGTGTCGGGGATGCGGTGGCTGAGGCGGTGACGTGGAGCCCGGCTCAGAGCCAGCCGCCTGGGCTGTGCTGGTTCTGCCCTTGTTCCTGAGCTGCTCTTCAGCCTCCCTCAGTCCAGCCCTGAGCCATTCACACCATGGGGAGAGGCGGGTGACATGAGAGCTTTTCGATTTTCACGCTCCTCAGACCTGGAGTCCAGTGCTCACGGGCAGCCTGTGTGCCTCGCCAACTGACACTGCACATCCCACATGCCCATTAGGGGAGTCTCAGTGCTGTGGCCAGGCAAACTGACAGGTGCCTTTGCTGTGTGACACCCAGAGTACACAGGAGAAAGGGCGCCTCCCCACCCAGGCACCCCTCACTCCACAAGTGGCGATGGAGGTGCCCACACCCCGAGGGCTGCAGTGTGGCTCCGGGGGCCCTGTCCCTAGTAAAGGAAGTGTGAGCTGTCAAGGGATGGCTTTAGAGATCTCTCTCGGGGAGAGAGCGAAGCACGGCTGGCCGAGACTCACCCTGAGTGCTCCTTGCTCTCAAGTCTCCTCCTCTGGACAGGGGAAAGTGAGCCTCGTGTTTGTGCACTAGGAGCCATCTCTGGGTCAGGCAGCTGGGCGTGCATCCCTGTCCTGCATGGAGCGAGCTGTGGTGCACCCTGGGAGCCACACATTCCCCTCAGCTTTAAGGTGTGGCTCTCTATTGTTGCTGAAATGTGCACAGCACTAGAAAGCCCGGCTTCTCTGCGGATCTCCTTCTCCTATGGCAACACTGAGCAGCATCCCCCTTTCTGAACTCCTGCCTCTAGGAGTACAGGGGACAGTTCCTTTACACATGCAACAGACCCCCACTGACACTCACCCCATGCCAGGCCACCAAGTTGTAAAATAATGGAATGTGGTGGTCACATGTGTCCGCCTGCTGCCTGGCTCAGCCCATCCCAAGTGGAAGGCACTGTGGGACAAGCAAAAGGCCTCTACGTGGGGCAGGGGAGATGCTACCTGGAGGGCAACAGAGCCTGTGAATTGTGCAGTTTGACCACCTGCCCTGGGGGTGGGTCTGGATAAATGCAACCACCCTGCAGGAGCAAAGCAAGGTGCACACATGAGCACTGGGTCAGAGGACTGGGCCTTGGCTGGGTGCACGTGCAGACCTCTGCTTTGTTCTGGCTCTGGGCCTCTGGAAGCTGGCCTGGGACTGCTCGTGACTGCGTGTCTCTTCTAGGTGGGCTACCCTAACGTTGGCAAGAGTTCCACCATCAACACCATCATGGGCAACAAGAAAGTGTCGGTGTCCGCCACGCCCGGCCACACCAAGCACTTCCAGGTAGCCCTGCGCCCCTGCCCCCTCCACACTCTGCTCCAGGCCACCCATGGAGTGCATACACCTTCCTTCCCTTACAGACCCTCTATGTGGAGCCCGGCCTCTGCCTGTGTGACTGCCCCGGCCTGGTGATGCCGTCCTTTGTGTCCACCAAGGCAGAGATGACCTGCAGTGGAATCCTGCCTATCGACCAGATGCGAGACCATGTCCCTCCCGTGTCACTCATATCCTTCCTGGTGGTTCTGGGCCAGTGGGGGCTTTGGAGATTTCGGGCAAGCACCTTCTGGTGTTGTGTGGCGGGCTCGGGTCTGGCCCTGTAGCAAGGAGAATCTGAAGTACTGGTGACCTGCCCAGGTTTCCCGGTTAGCTGGCTCAGGACTACCGAGTTAGAACCCAGCTCTGGAGTTAGCAGCATAGCCAGTGTGGACAGAGAGGCCCAGGCTGCACACCTAGACTTCCCCCGCCATAGACTGAGGAGGCTGGGAGAGGGAGCTTGGCCTGCTGAACACCCCTGTCCTCTAGCACAGGGACAATGCCTGCTTCATGAGCAGTGGGGGCTATAATCCTGGTGACTGGCATTTATTGACCACTTGCTGTGAGTGTTTCTGACACTTGCTAGGTAGCACTTACTATTCCCAGAACATCCGTGAAGAACAAGTGCTGCCATTGTTTCTTCTGTTTCAAGCAGAGACACAGCAAAGTGAAAGCTTCCCCTCACTGAGTGAGCCGGTGTGCAGCTGCCCTGGCTGCATAGGGTGTTGTTCACAGCAGGTCTGTGTGGACACCTGGGTGTCCCCTGCCTCGAAGTCAGCAGGCCAGTCTGTTCTGTTCTGCAGGGGCCTCGAGAGAGGGGAGACTCTGTGAAACTGGCGCTCTGGCTTGTTAGCTTGTAAGTAGGGTAAAATTCCATACCCTACTCAGTTCTTAACAAATCCCAGAACTACAGTGTTCTCTTTTTCTGTAAGAAATAATGAGTAAAGCCTCGGCATGTTGGCATTCTTTTGCATTTACAGCACTATGGGAGGCTGAAGCAGGAGGATCTCAAGTTCAATTCCCCCTTGGGGAATCTAAGACCCTGTCTTAAAGTAAAAATCAAAAAGGAGGGGGAGTGGCTCAGTGCAAAGGTCCTGGGTTCCATCCCCAGTGTCAGTTTTTTTAAAGTATAAGAATTAATTCATACAAGCTAAAAAAAAAAGTAAAACAGTATATCTCTAAATTGGGATACAAAACAGTTGTTAAAAAGAGTGCACTAATTCTACGTCCCCAGCCCTTTTTATTGTTTATTTTGAGATAGTGTCTAAATCACTAAGTTACCCAGGCTGGACTCAGACTTGTAGTCCTGCCTTAGCCTCACAGAATGTTGGGACTATGGGCGTGTGCCATCACACCCACTAAACACTTAATTTCTTTTTTCTTCTCAGTACAGAGGACCTTGCACTTGCCAGGCAGGCCTGGCACCACTGAGCTACATCCCCCACAGCTTAAATTCTTTTTCTTTAATTTTTTGTGATGTTCTCACTATGTAGTTCAGGCTGGCCTTGAACTCACAGCAGTCTTCCTGCCTCAGCCTCCTGAGTGCTGGGATTACAGGTGTGTGCCACCGCACACAGCTAAATCTGGGAACATGGGTGTTACTTATGCTTTCTATGTAAATCAGCAGTAGGACATGTGCTGGGTGCTCACCGGCAGGCAGTGAGGGACTGTGGAGGATCCAGGCATAACTCAAGTGGGCCCGTCTCTCCAGCAGTGTCAGTCCAGGTGACGTGGAACCGCGCGTGGGTGACAGGCTGAAGCGGGGCACTGAGTGGCGAAGCAAAGCACAGTGAACTAAGAGATGAGATGAGGAAAAGTTGTCTTGCATAGTCGTGGGCATTAGAAACAGATGCCTGTGCTTGGTGGGTTATCTCACGGATTTGTGGTTAATTCATAATGTTGCTTCGCAAGGTAAAGGAAATCAGTTTGAGAGAATTGGTTTGGAAGTGATCTTGGATATAGAAGAAGCTGGTGGTTTCCATGAATGAGTAACTAGTCTGTATGGGGAGGCCAGCAAGCACTGAGACGGTCAGTGTCCTGGGCAGCGTGTCAGGTGCCGTGGGGACAGATCAGCTCCAGACCGTGGACACCTTAACTGGGTCACGTGTGCCAGAACATTCCGCGGCGGGTCCTGGAAGCAACCTACGGCATCAGCATTATAAAGCCCAGGGAAGACGAAGATCCTTACCGTCCTCCAACCTCAGAAGAATTGCTGACGGCTTATGGATGTGAGTTGTTTTTTATTTTAAAACATAAACAAGAAATAACAGTACAGTGAGTTAATAGAAATAGTTAATAGAATTATGGGAGGTGGGTTCTCAGAATTGATCCAGGGTAAGTATGTGCTTTAACCCTGAGCCACATCACCGGCTGCTATATTTTTGTTGTTGTTTTGGTACTGGGGATAGAACTCAAGACCTTACGATTGCCAGGAAGGCACAGTGCCACTGAGCTAAATCCCTGGCCCTGCTGTATTTTTTAATAGTATCCTCAATGAGGGCCAGGGATTTAGCTCAGTGGTTCCATCACCTGCCTCGAAAGTGCAAGGTCCCAAGTTTGATCCCTGTTACTAAAAATAGTAATAATAATATCCTCAATGCTATTTTTCATCTGGCACTACCTGGTAAAATCAGTAAGAGGAAAGGCCACTTTGTAAAACCAACCCCACCTGTACCCTTTCTGAGATCACTGTAGGTCTGTTCAGAAGGTGTCTCCGGCAGTAAATTTTAAAAAGTTTTGCCAAATTGCTCCAGTTTTACTTTGTTTTTTTTTTTGGGGGGGGGTTGTTTTCTGGTTTTTGTTGTTGTTTTTTTGGTACTGGAGATCAGACCCAGGTCCTTGCGCTTGTGCAGCAAGAGATGTCGTGTACAGGTACAAGTTCCCAATGATGAATGTGGTCATTATATATAAAATGTACCAATAAAATAGTGCTAGTGAAGTTGGGCGTCTTTGCATATATTCATTGGTTTTCTGTGTTTCTTCTGGAATCACCTTCTCTTCCTTCTACGTGTTGTGCCTGTTGTTTTTCCTAATGTTTATTTGTGGTTTCGTTAACCCTGTAAAAAGTGATAATCTTAATAGACTGTTTTCCTTTTGGGCTTGACCGGGTTTGGTGTTTTACTTGGAGAAACTTCCCTATGTCCAAAAGACAGAACTACTTTCCTGTAATATTTGTTGTTTTAGACTTTTTAGTCCACCTAAATTATTTTTGCTTATGGTATAAATTAGGATTTTAAATATTTTCTTCTAAAGTGAAAAGGCCTACACATAGCTAGTGTATAAGGGAGCTAAGTTTTGAGTCCAGCCTGTCTGCCAAAGCCCATATTCTTAACCACTGTGTTCTGCCCCATCTGGTAATTGAGTTAGTATTAAAGGGGTCTTTGTGGTCTGTTGGAGAAAATGAAAAATAATACAGATATATATGCCAGGTGTGGTGGTTCATGCCCACATTCCCATCTGTTGAGGAGACTGAGGCAGGAAGAGCACAACTTTGAAGCCAGCCTGGGCAACTTAGGTTCTGTTTCTAAATAAAAAAGAGTTACGGATGTAGCTTGGTGCTAGAGAGCCCCATGGTTCAATCCCAATACTCCTAAAAAAAAAAAAAAGCTTGCTCTATAGCTTTTGGGTTTGCTGCTAATAATATTCTACAATGGCCTCTCAGAATCAGTGTTTCAGCTCAAGGAATAGAAAACATGGAGATGTTGAGTGTGTCTTTCACAGTGTGGTGCTAGGTGGTTTTTAAGGATAGCAGGTACAACTGGATAGCCTATATCCTATGTTAGCACATGTTTTAACCAAGAGATATTCTACAATAGTGGTGAATTAATTTTGTGAAAAATAGGAGTAAACAAGCATAATTAGCATATCCATGGAAAGGACTAAGTGTGCACCACCTCGTGTGTGTGTGTGTGTCGTGACACTGTGTCTGCTAGCTAAGGTTCTTCGCCACTTCTCCCACAGACATGCGTGGATTCATGACGGCGCACGGCCAGCCAGACCAGCCTCGCTCTGCGCGCTACATCCTAAAGGACTATGTCAGGGTAAGTGAATCCTCTCTTGTATCGCTCGTGAATAAACAAATTTTCTTCGCCCACACACTACGTTCATAGCTAAATTGCCATCCTTTAGATTCTAAGGAGATAGTTTTCCATTGAGGTGGAGTTCTAACCAGGGCTGTGTTCCCCATCTAGGGGAGTTAGGCTCACATAATTACAGAGGGACTGGTGACTTTTTTTTTTTTTTGTACTGGGGATCAAACTCAGGACCTTGCGCTTGGGAGGGAGGCGACGGAACCGCCGAGCTAAATCCCTGGCCCTGGTGACATATTTTGACAGGAGCAGTGAAGCTGTCTGAACACTGTTACCACCGAGAGCTGCTGATTCTTGCACCCAGTTTTCTGTCTCCCTTTACTTGTTTCCACTGTATCACAGTCTTCCTTGCAGTGTCACCGTCTGCGAGCCTTTCCACCCATGCTTACCTGAGTACAGTAAAACTAAGGGCCGAGGTACCTTTTCAGAGCTAATGCAGGAGTGAGTCTGAATGTTTTCTGTGTATCTCTTCGCTAATACAGAACAAAGAGGCTGGGCATAGCGCAGGGGTAGAGCACATGCACCCCAGAAATAAAAACTAAAACTGAGTCTCTGAGGTCATATTCTGTCATGTTACAAGTGAGCACACTGTTTGGGGTTTCCTCATCACTAAGCTCAGCGCCAATTACATACTAATTCCCCAAGATGTGTTATGTATTAAGTTTAATTCTTTCCAAAAATCAGCATTATAGCAGTTCCTGGTGATAACTAGCTGTGAAGGTTGAACTTTTATTCCTTCCTCTTCTCAAGTCCGAATGCAGGGAGTGTAGAAATAAAAGTAGGCTGTGCCATTTGACTGCAATTCAGAAAGAATGTGATTCCTACTGTTTAGGTGAGTTAACAGGCATAGCTTTTATAGCATCTTGGTGGGAGGGGCACTTTGTACCCAGGCAGCAGCCTGACCCACATGTAAGAGGCTAAGGGTTATCTTTGGGGGGCCCCCACCCCTCGGTGCCAGAGATGGAGCCCAGGCCCTCGCACCTGCTGGCCGAGCACCCCCTCTTCTGAGCCCTGGGGACTCCTCGATGCCTGAATCCCAGCTTAATATTCCCATTGGTACAGTCAGAATTTTCAAGTTGTGTCCTGGTTTTGATTTTGGAAAATATTTAGCACAAGTGTAATCATAAGAGCAAACTGAAATGTTCTTAGGAAAGATTCAGAGTGAAACAGGGCCCAGAGAAGAATGACCCGTTCTGGTGTGAAGCTGTGGGGCGGCGAGGTCCCGCACATGGAAGGTTGAGATGGTGTGGGGAGTTAGGCCGCCGGAGTCAGCTCAGCGGGATCCACAGGCGGAAGCCTGCTCAGTGTCTCCTCTTCGGCACCTGTTGTCTCTGCAGGGTAAACTGCTGCACTGCCACCCCCCTCCCGGAACGGACCCCGTGATGTTTCAGTATCAACACCAGCAACTCCTGGAGAACAGGATGAATGGTGAAGAAACAAAAATGCAGCCGAGTAGAAACACAAAAGAGAAACAGATTGAAAACGTAGTTGACAAAACATTTTTCCATCAAGTAAGTAGTTTTTCTTTAACTTCTGATCCAACACATTCTTTCTTTTTTTTTCTTATTAAGTTTATTATATAATATGTTACAATTTTCCAGCACATTCTAACAGTACAGGTTGAGCTATTCACATACCATAAACAGAACTGACACTCACCCAGGCCACTGTAAAGTGTAAGATCCAGGAGTCCATGGCATTTCAGAGCTGTGCAGTCCACTTTAGGATCAGCCCAAAAAGAAACCTCAGACTACACCGTGAGCAGCTCAGCCTGCTTCCCCTCTCCCCAGCCCCTGCCAGCCTCTGCTCTGAGCTGTGTGCAGATTTGTAGACAGGATCAGGCGCTGTGCTCTTTGCAACTGCTCCTCCCACGTAACGCAGTGTCCTCGAGGCTCACCGAGCTGTTGCACGGGCAGCACTCAGTCCTTCTGTGGCAGGATAGCCTTGTGTGTAGATGATCCGAGTGGTGTCTGTCCATGTGTCAGTGGCTGGACATGTGTGTCGTGACTCACGAGCAGTGTGGCTGTGAGTCTGTCCACGAGCTCTTGCATGGCATGTGTTTTCATCCTCTCAGTCTGTGCCCAGCACCGGGGTTTCTGTGTGCGAGGTCACCCATGTGTGAGCTCTGAGGGAGCCAGAGAGGCTGCATCATTAACATCCCCCTAGCAGCGCAGCAGCTTTCCGATTTCTTCACACTCTTGTCAGCACTTCTGCTCTCCCATGTCTTCCCCTAAGCATCCGCATGTGTGTAAAGTCGTGTCTCGTGGTTTTGATTTCTGTGTCCCTGATCCTCCTTCAGGTGCTCATAGGTACATATGTACTTCCCTTGGAGTAGCGTCGGTTGTTTTGTTTGCTTTTTTTTGAAGTCTGGGCTGGCCTTGAACTCAACATGCAGCCCAGACTGGCCTCAAACTTTCAGCAGTCCTCCTACCTCAGCCTCCAAGTGCTCAGGTCACAGGTATGCACCACCACGCCTGACTAAATGTTGCTTACTGCTGAGTTCCAGGAGTCCTTTATATATTCTGGATGTCAAGGCCTCTTCAGATCTATGATTAGAAAGTGCCAGAGAGACAGACATCATACAGGTCTCCTGCACTTCACAGTATTAACAACTTGAATTGCAGTCTAGAGGTAGCATTGTAGAAAGCAAATTTATGTTCAGAAGAGTTAAATCATAGGGTTGTTCTTAACATGCTCCAAAAACGCTTTTAAGTGGGCTGCGGGTGTAGCTCAGCGGTAAACCAGTACTGCAGAATAGTAACAATACTAATGCTTTTAAGCGATTGCCGTACCCCAAGAGAAAGGAGGAGTTGGGCACAGCTGGAGGGTGGCCAGCTGCTTCCTTCTCTGGTGCTGCGTGGGTGCCCTGCACTGTGGGCCAGTGTGCAGCTGAGCGATGTTACCGTCCCTGTTCCACCACTCGGGGCTGAGGCCCACGACACCAACTGACTCAGCAAGGGGACTGTTTACCTGGCTTAGCTAAGATGAGCTTAGATGTGTGTGGCTCTTTCTTTGAATTATGCCCAAGTCTTTGCTAGCAGTATGCAGAACTGCAGGTCCTTCGCAGGCCTGACAGCTGGCATGCAGGACATTTAATTTGAATCCTTTCGTGCTTGCAGGAAATTTCTAAAGGCCCCATGAGTGAAGGCTGACGGCTTTCTGTTTGCTACAGTTCACAGATCTGACCGCTTTCCCATCATGCAAAGGCGGATGCTGCTTTACACTTCCCGTCCTTCTGGATTAGTTTTTTCTTTTTTTTGGTACCGAGGATCAAACTCGGGTCCTTGCGCTTGCACAGCAGGTGGCGAAACCACGGAGCTAAATCCCCGGCCCTAAGGATTCATTTTTTCTTGAGGAAACAGTTTCCTTAGTTAGTTTCTAGTTTGGGTCCCCGGAGGACACCCCGTGGCTGCCCTCTCACCACGCTTGCTCTGCTCTCCAGGAGAACGTGCAGGCGCTGACCAGAGGGGTGCAGGCCGTGATGCGGTACCAGCCAGGCAGCGGCCTGGTGACCGCAGCTACCGTGAGCGCTGAGAACTCGGCTGGGAAGCCCTGGAAGAAGCACGGCAACAGGAACAAAAAGGAGAAAAGCCGCAGACTCTACAAGCACCTGGACATGTGACCCAGACCAGCGGTGAGAGGGTGGGTGGCCAAGCAGCTGTTGGGCCGCAGACTCTCCCGGGACAGGCACCAGCGAGTGTGCACTTGGGCCGTGTGGCCACCCCGAAGCCTTGGCATCTGGGTGCAGCTCGGGACAGCCGCTCTGCACATCGAGTCAGGGAGCCCGGAAGCAGGTCCTGGGGAAGGTGGGCCCAGGAGGAAGGCAATGGTGTGTGTTTGTGCAAATGCACACGTGCTCCTGGTTTGTGAATCAGATTTTCTGAAGGGATTAGAATTAAATTCCCACTGACCTTCCTCTCGGTGTGAGTGGGTGAACTGCCAGCTGGACCGTCCACATCCCACCTCGGTCTTGCTTTGCTGAAGTTCTGCTGGGGTTCAGGGACAGCTTCTGAGGATGTGGATTAGATTAGCTGGCCCTGCCTGCACACCTCCAGCACAGCCCAATTTGACTGGGCAGAGGCCTGGGCTGCAGGTCCTTCAGAGTTCCTAGGGGCGGTGAGCTTCATCTGTAAGCCACCAGCACCACCAGGTGACCAGGGCTGTCATTTCCGGCCCTGGGCCCCTGAGCTCCTCCATGCATGGCTCCTCCCCGTCACAGGTGGCTCCGGCCTCTGCCATCACATGCCACACACTGCAGTTCTCCCGGCCCCCTGCTCCTGTGCTTCTGTAGCCTTCTCTGGGCCTCATTTTCCCCCTAACTCAGGGCTTAACTCTGGCTTATAGCGGAGGTGCTTTGGGGAAAGTACACATCCCCACAAGACCTTCTTGCAGAATCAAGAGGCCCCGAGTCCTGAAGCGCACCCAGGAATCCATAGTTGAGCACTTCTCGCTGGCAGGGTCATAAAGCCAGGCATCACAGGATGGGCCATCCCAAGGGACCATGCAGACAGGGCTTCTGTGGGGATCGCTGACTGCAGTTATCATGCCTGTCTTAAGCCATGTGCTACACTCCAACAGTCACGTGACAAAGCCATTTCCATAGACACCAGTAAGTGGCAGGCAGCTGTGTTTAGGACGTCATACCAGGGCAAATGTTACATCCTGGGAATTAAAAGATTATGTTTATTCGGTTAACAAATATTTATTCGCCAGCCACCTCGTGACAGGAAGAGCAGTGCAGCAGGGTGTGGAGGTGCATGCCTGTAATCCCAGCACTTGGGAGGCTGAGGCAGGGGGATTGCTGAAAGTTCAAAGCCTGCCTGGGCTACATAGTGAGACTGTCAGAAAAAAATGGGGAAAAGAGAGCAGTGCAGGAGGTGAACACAGCAGCACAGGGGCGACCTCTGGAGGGTGGAAGTAAGTAAGGGCGGAGTCCTGTGGGGCAGCTGAAGGGATTCCAGATGTTTCCTGAAAAATGAAGCAAGCTCTGGAGTCCTGCACTCTCAGGAGTGAATGAGCCGTGCTCGATTCTTCACATAGTAACAGGTGGCCGTTTGCTCTGCCTGTAGGTTTCCCGATCTAGACATTCTGGCAAATGCACCGTAAGGAAGGGGCTGGCCGATGATAGTGTCACCCATTCTTCAAAAGCCCTCTCAGAGGTGACCCTGTGCCCGGCCAGAAGCCCCTCGCTGACGCCCTTTTACGGCTTCTCCCTTTCCTGGATCTCCCTCCTGCCCTTGCCACCCCATGAACAGAACCCAGGTCCTTGTTGAGAGTCCAGGAGTGCAGACTCGGTCACCTGAACAGTAATCTCAGCTTCACTTTCGCTTCTGCCCCAATGTCTGCCCTGCGATTTCTTTTTTCTTTTTTGAGACAGGGTCTCTCCAGGTAGTCTGGGCTGAAGTATCCCCATTTTCATTGTGGACTCGTGCATTGCAGTCATTACCACTGTTTCAATTTTTTTCAGCATTTTCACCACCCTTTTATTTTTTATTTTATTGGTACATTTTATATATAATGATCACATTCATCATTGGGAACTTGTACCTGTACATGACATATCTTGCTGCTGACTTTTCCCCATTCCTCCTCACCCTTCAACCCCTCTTCCCCTCCTTATTTACAAAAGCTTCGTTTCCATTTTTTCCTTCTGTTCTCTTTTTTAAATCTTTTTCCCTTCCTTCCTTTCCCCCTCCCTAGCTCCCCTCCTCATTTGAGCATTTTCTCCCCACTTCCCGATGTCCAGTATGCATTTTGTTATCTCAGAGAGGCTGCCTCTGCTGTTCACCACTCTGCCATCTTCCCAGACGTCTCCACACCCCAGTAAGGCAGAACCAGCCATGCCCCTGCAGCTTGTGGATTTTCAGATCAGAAGGAAGTTAAGGTGTTTGTCAAGAAGCCAGTTTTCCTGGTCATTTGGAAAACTCGGCAGAAGGCAGAAGTCCAGGAAGTGCCACCTTTTCAAATCCCTCTTGCCTCCGTTCAGTCCGAAGTGAGACAGCCATTCCAGCTTTCCACCCTTATTACCCAGTTGCTCCCAGATAGGGTACCATATGCCTGTGATCCTAGCCACTTGGAGGCTGAGGCAGGAGGATTGCAAGGTAAAGCTTGGGTGACAGCTTGTCTCAAAACTCAAAAAATAAAAGAGCTGAGCTCAGGGTTCAGTCCTCACTACACAGAAGACCTGTTGCTGTGATGTATTGAGTGCACCAAGGCCAGCAAAGGCCGAGGCCACTGGTGTGCAGGAAGTCGCGGTGTGGAGCGAGAGTTCACACACACCACACACCCAGGTGACACTTTATGGAGACAGGATGTGCGTGAAGGTGCCCGTCTATGGAGACAGGATGTGCGTGAAGGTGCCCGTCTCTAGCCCTCCCCAGTGCACACAGCGTGATGAGCAGGTCAGGCTGCATCTGCAGGGCGCTGGGCGACCACGTCCCTGCCTAGCTGTCCTCCCAGATGTCTGCATGAGAGTGCTTGAGTCATCAAGAGCCACAAGCATGGGTGCTCGAATCCAGCGCTGTCGCCCAGACTGGGCTCAAACTTATGATCCTCCTGCCTCAGCCTCACAGAGTGCTGGGATTACAGGAGTGAGCCACCACCCCAGACTTGAATTTTGTGTGTCTGGACTCTCAAGGCCTTCAGAGGTGGGGCCTCACAGGAAGTGGCGCTAGGCGCATGGGGCTGGGTGGTTGAGGGTCCAACCAACACACACTTCCCAGGTGTGTCCAACGGGAGCTCTCTGGCCTGAAGCAAGTGTATCTGAACCAGCCCTGGATTCCTAGGCCAGTGAACCCTTCAGGGTTTTTCTATTTGTGTTGGGAGGGGGGGTGCTGACATTACAGCTGAAATGTCTGAAAACACATTACACTTTGCTCTCTGCGGGGAGGGAAGCTGTTTGAGATAGGCGGGCCTCGAACTCTGTGTTCCCCAGGCTGGCCTCAAACTTGTAGTGATCTTCCTGCCTCGGCCTCCTGAGTACTAGGATTACAGGCGTGTGTCACCACGCTTGGCTTAGAATTGTGATTTATTTTTTTAATGAAAAAATAAAATCATAATTCTGCCCTGCCTTGCCGGGCTTGGGGGTGCACATCTGTAATCCCAGCACTCAGGAGGCTGGAGGCTGAGACAGGAGGATCACAGTGAGTTCCAGGCCAGCCTAGACTACACAGTGAGACTGTCTCAGTTAACATAAGACCTGCTTTAAGCAAAATCACTAAAATCGATACGGAAATTAAAAATCACAGGAGCCAGGGGCAGTGGTGCACACCTATGGTCCCAGTGCACTGGGAAGCTGAGGCAGGAGGACCCCCAGTTCCAGCCCAGCCTGGCACCTTAGCTACTTAGGCCTAGTCTCAGAATAAAACAGGGTCAGGGACGTTAGCTCCATGCGAAGGCCACAGAAAATTAGAGTAATAGTTTATTTTCCAGGACACCCCCGGACACCGGAATCATGTGGCTGCGCGGCAGGAGACGGAGAAAACCGGTCCGGGCCCTCGAAGTGCGGAAAGAAGCGCAGGGCAGGGCAGTTCCAGCAGTGGTCGGGCGCAGAAAACGGGGCGCCCGGGCCAGTGGTCGTTGCATAAGGGAGGCAGGGACCCTGTGTCCCGTCCCTGCCCGACCAGACAGTAGCGGGGCAGGCCGGGGCTCCTCCGGGGCCGCACCGCCACGGGGAGACTGCTGCTCCTCGCTCCGCCGTGTGCGTGCGTCCTGCTCGCCGTGGCTCTGGGCCACCTGCTGCTGGGTCTCAGCCCTCGTACTATAAGGGGGACCCAGACTGCAACGGGGCTGGGTTCGGGTTGGGGGGGCGGGGGGCGGGGCGTGACCCCACCCAGGTCAGAGCGATCCTTTCTGGGGTGAAGTCGGTTGCATCTACCCAGATCCCGCATGCAGTGAGGCCTTGCTGGGGGTCGGCAGCCCAGGGGCCTGGCCAGGTGGTGCAGTGGTGGGCGCGAAACAAAGCTGTAAAACCTGGAAGCTCAGGGTGGGTGCTCGCGGGTAATCCCAGCACTCGAGAGGCTGATGTGGCAGGAGGATCGCTGAAAGTTCGAAGCCAGGCCAGGCTACATTTCAAGACCCTGTCTCAAGAAAGGAAGGAGAAAAAAAAAAAACCTTTGCACCTTAACCAGAATGGGGTTGATACGTCACAGGCTGGATGGAAGGGTTCAGGGAGGGCAGAACTCGAGAGGCACACACTGTGATGTACCCAAGTCCCATGACACTGCTAGCCTCAATTTAACTACAGCCCTTAGCTGTGAAGTGGGCGGGGTCACTATAGCCTCCCGTGTTCTTGTTTGGTTTTTTGAGACAGAATCTGCTGTGTAGCCCAGGCTGGTCCTGAACTCACTATGAAGCCCAGGCTGGCCTCAAACTTGTGGCAATCCTCCTGCCCCAGCCTTCTGAGTGCTGGATTACTGCCCTGCACCATGGCTGCCTGGCTGAATTTTTCTTTTCTTTTTTAATTTTTAGGTACTGGGGATTGAACTCAGGTCCTTGAGCTTGCACAGCAGGCGGCGAAACCACTGAGTCAAATCCCCGGTCCTGGCTGAATTTTTCATTTACACAATTAGCTCTCCTTAGCTACAGTTGCTGGGTTACTTTACAACCCTCTTGTTTCCTTTTCAGAAAGTAAAATCCAACAGTGTTGGGGGGAGAGGGGTCATTTCTCTTGAGTCAGCCACCTGGGAGGTGAGTGTTCTCGTTGCTGTCTCTCCTTCTGGGTGAGCTCCAGCTCCCGCCATGGGCCTGGTGACCACAGACTTGGGCTTCTTCTGATCTTTTCTTCCTGAGGGAGAGGGTACATTGCAAGGACGAAAAGTTGAAACTGCCCTTTTTATTGTTTTGTTTTGGTTTTTGTTTGTTTTCTTGAGACAGGGTCTCGTTATGTAGCCCAGGATGGCCTCAAACTCTTGGCAATCTTCCTGCCTCAGCCTCCCAAGTGCTGGGACCACAGGCAGGCACCAGCACGCTCAGGCTGCAGGTGCCCGTTTAGACACCTGCTTGGGCTTCCCCAGACTCCCGCTGTGTGCTGTCTACACCCAACCTGCAGCCTTCTCTACCTGAGATGCACAAAGAAACCCAGACAGGACCAGTTGGCCCTGTGTGCTGTGTGCCGCCTCCTGACCGGCCTGTGTGGCACAGCCAGTGCAGCTCCCGGTCTAGGTAAGCAGCCTGGTGGCGGCAGGGGCTCCACACAGCTCGGGCCTGGCCTCCTCCTCCTGCCTCCACTGCCACAGGTTCAGGCGATTTCCCCTCAAGCCCGTGCCCTTCCATCCGTTCCCCACGTCCACGCAGCTCCTTCAGGTGTGTGCTCAAAGCATGGAAGCGCCACCCAGCTTGTCCACCAGCTCTGCGGATCCCTTGTCCTGCTGTCCCCAAATCCCCTGTGTACTGAGAGGTGTGATCTGAGTCCCTGGGAATGCATTTCAGTACCAGAGGTCTTGAGGCCCTGGGTCCAGACACACTCGTCCCACTGCCTTGCCGCTTTCTGACACAGGTCTGGACTCCTTCCCCAGAGTCCAGTTGCACTGTCGAGCCTGCCTCCGTGTCTTGAATTGATTCAAAATGGTATCCTTTCGTGGTCATTTGGACTCGAGGGAAGAGCCAGGAGTCGCACGGCGTCAGATCTGGTGAATAAGGTGCAGAGGATGCACTGTCATGTTTTCTGAGCTGCCTTTCCACTGGAT